CAGCTCCAAATTCACCAACTTATTAGGCCCATGTCCAGACGCAAAACTCCTGACTTACTTGATTTCTTTATTACAAAAGGACTAAAAACCGTACCATTTGCCGTCAATGCAATCTCCGATCTTTGTTCTGATCACTCCTCAGTGCACATGATTCTCTTCGACGAGCCTTCCGAAGCACAAAAAAGACCTAGGCTCATAAAAGGCTGCATGGACTGGGAAGCATATAGAGACCATTTGGACACCAATCTTTCCATTCCAGGTTCAATTAAAAATCATGAGGAATTAGAAGCTGTTGAAAAATTCACAAAAAGCATACAAGATGCAGCATGGACCTCATCAGCATCCAGGCCACAAAAAGCAGTGAACTTGCACCATTATTCTATGTACATAAGGGACTTGATTAGAGCAAAGAGAAGAGCACGTAAAGTATGGCAGACTAATAGACTTCCTTCAGACCGACAAACTTTTAACAGATTGAACAACGAACTTAAAAGACATATTCAAAAATTCAAAAGCACAAACAACAACAATTTTATTGCAACCTTTCGACGGACGATGGAAGTTTATGGAGACATACAAGGAATTTTTTTAAGAATCGTGAGGTGTCAGCACCCATACGAAGAGAGGATGGTTCTTGGGCTGTTTCGGACGAGGAAAGATCTGAACTCTTTGCTAATATGCGATATATGTATATGTATATATATATATATATATATATATATATATATATATATATATATATATATATATATATATATGCGATTTTTGGAATAAACGGATGTTATAATATCTGACCTAACCTAAACCTAATGAATAATCTAACCTAAACGATATAATTTCTATATTTATTTAAAATGAAGGAGAGGTGGAGGAGGCAAGACTACCCCTCTGCAATAGTAGCACTGCGTGGTGTTATCTGTTGTAAACCTTATCTGAAACATTGTGGATAACCTGGCATCAATCAAGATGGCAGAAAGAGTAGTGATTCGGAACAGGTACCAAATTTATCATACAATGAAACGTTTTTTAAAATTTTCAATATCAGAAATTGGTTAATAATAAAAAAGGTTAATAAAAAAATTCAAATGAAGAATAAAAAAATAATGACACTATATGCAGAAAAAAACATCTGATGTGTCCACTCACACGACTTTCCTACCTATTTCAGAAAAGTTTTTATATCTTTACATATGTTCATGAAGAAACAAAAAAGAATTGAACTAAATTTATTTTCCTGAAAATTAAACAAACAAAAGATTTGAGTACGATTTATTTGATAAATTAAGGAAATGAAACCAGCTTAAGGTAGATCAGTGTAAAAAATTCAATACTCACTAATATTGCTGATCAAAAACTTTTGCCATAGTATTGTAACAAACTTAGTATTATCAAACAATAATTTCTGTTAAAAGTAGAGGAAATAGTGAAGGTTGTGTGATGCGGGCAACAGAATTTCTTAATTTCACTTAGTCATCTTTATTCTCTTATTCACCCCTTTCTGACACCAGGAAATGAACTCGTAATGTTTCATTGCAAATTGAATCGCTGTAACTTCGTTAATAACTGTCCAAAATGAACGAATTTTATATGGCCATGCAGGGAATTTAATTACCTTTCAAAAGATAGGCTAAACGGCGTGTTTTTCGAAGCAAACGAACAAAAAGAAGCAACAAAATCGGTTCAATAGTTCCCGAGAAAATCTTGGCACAGACAGACAGACAGACCAATGGCTAAAAATGTGTTTTTCGGACTCAGGGGGCTGTGAAACGTATAGATCCGTCGAAAACCGCATGTCGGAAATTTGACCCGTTTGCAATTCTTTCCTTACCTAGGTAGGTATAGGTAGGAAAGTAAAAATATCAGAACATATCAAAAAATAATGTAAATTTAATGTAAGACAATAAAAAAAATTATAAGATTAAAATAAAGTTTAAAGTTAAAGTAATGTAGGACAATTAATAAATTAAAAGAAAGTTTAAAATTTAAAAAAAATTAACTGTTTATTGAAGTACTAACATCATATCAAAGAAAAATGTTTAAGTCAGTTATAAAAAAAAGAATATTTTAATGTGAAAAGTGCAAAAGACGGGAGCAATTCAGTGAATAAATCCCACACACACAGGATCTGACCTTGATTCAGGCCCTGCGCAACTAAAGGGTTAAAAAAAATATTGTAACAGCAATTACTTTAACTGATCCTGAGAAGAATCATTCATGCAAGACATGTAAACGAAGTCTGGACACAGCAGACTAATGCTGAATTAAGGCAGCTATATGGGGATGTTGATATGGTGATCTTTATTAAAGTAAGTTGTTTCAGATGTGCTGGATACGTTATAAGAATGTCTGAAGATCTGGTCCAAAAAAATAAATCTTTGGTAAATGAAAAAGAGGAAGACCTACGTTGCAGTGGATTGATGGCATATCTACAGATGCACAATCCATACTGGGGTTCCAGAACTGCAAGACGGCAGCATGGAATAGGAATGACTGGGGGGTCAAAGTTGCAAGAGGCCTCGTCTCCACATGAGACGTAGCAATGTGCAAGAAGAAAAATTACTTCAACAATGGACCATAGTTGAAAAATCTGGTGCAGTGTGAGCACCACACAACTTTCAATTACCAAATTTAGAATAGATAGGTATTTCATATATAGGGGACACAAACGCATAATGTGAAAACGACTGTATAACTTAATTCAAACTGTATAATTTAAAATTATTAAAGTTTTTTTAATCTGTAAAATTTATATGTTTGCATCACTTTTTATTTTATTTTACGACTATGTATAGTACCAAACAATAACAATGATTACAGAGAAAATATGATCTTTTGGAAAATTTTTTGAGTTTTATCAGGAACAGTTATTACAAGAATAACTCAACGTTAGTAAATATTGTGTATTATTAGGTTTATGTTTGTAGATTCTCAACACTTAGCGTGAAAACCTTTAAAGAAAGTTATAGATAAGTGATATATAAAAGTTAAACTAACAATATGAAAGTCCTGTACAGAGGGGTGTCAGGTATCTCTAAAGAGAGGGAATTCGGAAAAGTTGGGCGCTCTCGGCTATATCCCTTTAGCTTCGAACCCTTATTTCACCGTAAATTACCAATCAATTTTCTTCAATCATTATACTCAACTAATTTTTATAATACTTAACAATGTGAAATAGTTTATTACTTCAAATAAAAATAATTAAAGGTACTTCAAAGGAAGAAATTTTGAAAACTAGGCATTTAAACCCTGCTAGAGAACACCAATGAGAATAAGACCTACATTCTATTAAAATTCACTTGACTTTAGACTGATATAATGAATTTAATCAAAATAGTTAAAGCAGTTTTCAGCAGCTTCTTTTAAAGCAGATTCTAAATCAATTATATAAAGTGGCACTTTCGGTTAGCCGATGTAGATGAACAAGTTGGTGTAACATTCGATGCTTCCACAAACCTTTAATAAGCAATTTCAGTTCTGTACAACTTTTGTTTTTGAGCTAACTTTTCACACACAGACCATTTTGTAGGACTTGGTCATTTGGACTTAGGAGATATAAAAACAAGTATTTCTGTTGAACACTCAGATCAAAAAATTTTCACGTCATTGAAAGTAAAAAAAAACAGAATATAAATTTAAAAATGTCTTAATGTACAATGGAAGATTGTGTATCTACCTAATTAGGTATATAGTGAATAATCACTTTCTTTTTCGCTTTGTTCTTCATTAATAAAAAAAAATATAGATAGATTATAATATACTTTCTCTATCACATAACAGAATTATGTGATTCTGAAAAAACATGTTTGTTTAAAGCTATTTCCTGTTAAATATTCAATTTCGAAAAATTGATATAACAAATGAATGAATATGGACGAATTAGAACTAAAGAGATAATCAAAACATGGAGGAAAATGGAAAAAAAGATGGGAGAAAATCAATAAAAAAGATGAAAAAAGTTTATTAACGATTTACATACCTATATAAAACATTGTTACTGGTTCACAAGTTTCATATCGATTTTATGGTTAGGTGAAGATCACAAAGATTACACTGTACATAAGATATGTATGGAATCCCAAAAGTAGCCATGTGTTTCCCGAAGTATAATGAAGTGACAGATATCCATACCTTATTTAGAAATAAATTATGGAAGCTATTAGATGATTAACTGAAAAGAACCCATCAATATTAACAAGAACATCTCTGCAGGATAAGGTGCCAATCGCAACTAAACTGGCTAGCAGCAGTAAGTATATCGCCTGAGCAAGCCCAACCATCAACATAGTAGTAAACACTCAGCTACTTTCAGAAATGTATCTACAGTATGAATGATGTCTCGATGAAATGTCAAGATAAAATACTGGAAAAGTAATAAATAATTTACTCTCTTAAGACTTAAAACATGAAGCATTATCTACTAATCCATTCTGGCAATATATTGTGGTAAATTAAAAAAAAATTACATTATGGATAAATATCTTAAAAATAAAACTACTTTTGAAAAGAAACATACTGAAAAACCCAACTAATAATTATTACAATTTCAATGAAAAAAATTGCCTATTCTCTGATAAAACTAGCATTAATAAAGTTTTTAACTGAGAAATGTAATACTCAGTCTAAATAATAACTGGTTGTTTTCAAAATGAAGAAAACAAGAAAGTCAATTAATTACTACTCATGAATATAAGGATTGTTTAAAAAATCAAGATTGAAAACAAAATAACTTTCAAATGACAAACTATAATAGAAACAAGATCTACTGATTAAGCATCAATGATAAGTAGTCTTCAACTTCAATATAAACAAATCAAAGTGAATAATGATCCAACAAATGATTATCCTACAGTAAAGAAAATTAATCCCTAATTAATATATTGTTTTAACTTGAAAGAACCAAATATAGATATATTCAAGTAAATTATTCATTTATAAACGTCAAATAATTATCAGTAGATTATACATCTAATTAATGGCATTGAAAAAATTTAAATACTTACTTCTAAAATACCTTCAAGTTTAAACAGTTCTTACAATTCATTTTCACTTATTTCGGTTAAGAAAAAATGACCTAAATAATATGGCGGCAGACAAATGAACATCTATTATTACAGATAACTAAGCGTTACAAAAATCTTTAAAAAAATTAAGTGACAACATAACAAAAATACGGAAACTAGTTTAAACAAGAGGCGCGGACACACAAAAATAAAAATAAATGCATAAGTAGAAAATATAACGACTAAAGAAAATAAAAAAAACACAACACACACTCTAACGTCAGGCTTAAGCACCTAACAGATTTTTTTTAGGTGGGCATCTTGATATCACTATCAAGGGATTTTCAAAATTAAAAAAAAATAGGATTTCTTTCAGTATGAAAGGTTTTGCTTCCATATTTAAAATTAGGTTCTTATCATGATACTCATTAACTAAATTAAAACATTGGTTTTAATTCTTAACAGATTAACTTAATTCAAGTTCTTATTTAGGCGCCAAGTTGACAAGTAGCTGAAGTGAGAAACTTCTATAATTTAAACAGAGAACTGAGACGTTTCTAGAACATTTTCAGATGTTTAGTCAATTCATTCAGAAAATATTTTGACTCTGGATTTGAGAAGTAATAAGAAGTAATAAAGGAATATAAATTTTAAAAAACTTTAGAGGATACTATTAAATTACCAAAAGTGTATATGACCCCCCCTTTCAAGATCATGAAGATTTATAAAGTTCTAGCTAAAAAACTAGGGTTGTAGCCAAGTGATTGAGGACTTACATAAGAGTTTTCCATGACAAGTAAGCTGGAAATTACTTTAATCCCTTCGGTATTGGTCTAGAATGAACATAATTACATGAGATTTCACCCTCCTACTAGGCGAGCGCAGTTCGTTGCTTAAAGATTTGTCTTCCTAAAACCTTTTTTTTTAAATTTACATACTATTTCAAAACGAATCGATGCTATCAAAAACATTGTTGAGACCAATATAATAGAACTTGAAATTCTGAACCAAATGCGTATCCAATTTTAATGTTATAGTTTAGCATTGAACTAACAACAATATTTAAAAGATGTAATAAACGCCTCAACATACTAATTTACCTAAATGCCTTGCTTCCAATTGTCATATATTTATCGTATACATTGGCGTTAATAATGGCAAAGCAACCAATAAAACGCAGCAGCGGGGACGTCGGGAGGGCGCAGTGCATGGACTCTGTCGGATTTAAGGGGGCTTTTGGACTGAAGCCATCTAAAATGAAAAAAAAATAAGTCCATGATTTCATATTTGTTTCTACCAGTGATATGAGCCTAACAATTAAGAAATATACTTCTGTTATTAGATGTAAGCACCTGACAAGAAAAAAGTATCCCAAAAAGCATTGTTGTTCCAATAATTGAACATTCAAGACATTGAACTTACAACAATATTTCAAAGATGTAATAAACGCCTCAACGTACCAATTTAACAATCTCTTGCACCAGCTATCAGGTATTTATCGTATACAATGACGTAAATAATCGCAAAGCAACCAATAAAACGCAGCAGCGGGGACGTCGGGAGGGCGCAGTGCATGGACTCTGTCGGATTTAAGGGGGCTTTTGGACTGAAGCCACCTAAAATGGAAAAAAAAGTACATGATTCCATATTTGTTTCTATTCACTCATAACTTTTAAAAACATGATCATAATTGAACTTTACAGATATTTCTATTCTGTAACGGCCTACCAATTCATAATTACTGATTCACTACTCACGTAATTAATTAATAAAATATACTTTACTTTTAGAAAAATGCCTTCTTATATTTTCAACACTTAGAATAAGATAAAAGGAACTGAGAAATAAAGGGTTTTTGAGTGTTAACTTAGAAACAAAGTTATAGGGTGAATTGTTGGTGAAGGGAGGAAGATGTTTACTAGTTTGTGTCTGATCTTCGTCGAACAGACGTGACCTTAATATTTTCGATAAATACATTCAGCACCTAACACTTTCTCTTGTCTTATAAAAAATAATAAACATTTATAGAAAAGTCTTTAGATCTATAAACTACGACCCACCGATCTGCAGCATTCGACAGATCTTTGATTATTCAATCCTTGTCTCTATGGATTTACATCCGTCACTCCAATACCCGACCCACCTTTAAATACCGCCTATTCAATAACCTGCTATTCATCCAGTTCACAAAAATAAAAAGCTTTTTCCGTAAATATGTATATAAATTATTATATATACTCCACCCATCCGACGGCCTCGTTTACTTTTATAAACACGATCTCTCGTATTCAACACTTAAGCCCACCTTATACGGTCAATATTATTGAATGAATAATATTGGAGTAATGTTATTGAACGTCGTATATGTCGGTATAATCTTTACAATATATCCCTCAGACGACCAATATATTCGATATTGGTCGATATTAATCCCTTTAGAATAAGATACAAGGAACTGAGAAAGGTTGTTGGGTGTTCACGTGTAAGCAAAGTTATGGGGTGAATGGAGGGATGATGCTTACTACTATTTATATCTGATCTTCGTCGAACAGGCGTGGAATTATTATTTTCGCAGAGTTTACAGTTTTCTCTTTAAACACTAAACAAAACAAATATTTATGTTAGGCTACGGTATTATAGTATGGGACATTATTTATCTATTATAGATTCAGAGGATGTTTTTATTGGCATAAATTTGTTCTAAAAACGTTCTGACTACACATATTTTCTTGGCTAACTCTGATTTAAATCAAGTTTTATTTTAACAGTTTTAATGTTTGCCCCCGATCCGTGTCGCCCAGCTAGACGCGGCTCCGCCCACATGACGGCCCTGAGGGTAACTGACTATTATTTCATGTTTTATGACGGTAAATAATATAAATTTAAAGCGTTAGTAGCTTTTCTATATATATTATGTATATAAATATATATATATCTGTGCTCCAGAGGTAAACCACACCATGTCCATTTTTCCATTAAATAATTTAGAAACAAATACAACACGACTATGGTCCTGACTAAATACCTGTGAACAAAGTTCCCACTCCTTCATTAGCTTCAGACTTCAGACCCATTTCCATTTTATCCAAACCTCTAGAAAGTTCACTCCCAGTTGAACAACTTTCTCGAGCAAAGTCGTCTCCTCAATCCGGCCTTTGTTCCCAATATTCCACCCAATTTGCCTTGTTAAAGATTACCCAAGACCTCCAATTATCCATAGATAAACAGAAAATCTGTCCTCTCCCTTTCTGATTTATCTGAAGTCTTTGATTCTGTTAAACATAATATCCTCCTTTCCAAACTCCTAAGCCTGCCCATCTCGAATAGCGATCTAAAATGAATAGGATCTCCTTTTCATCCTATCGCTTCCCGACAATTATAATTCCCAACAAATATCCTTCCTCGACCCTTCAATTATCAGGATGTGTTCCTCAGAGCTCTTAACTCTCTCCGATCCTTTTCTCCATTTATATTAGGAACCTTGCTGACTCCATTGATCACTCCCACTATCACTTGTATGCAGATGATTTCCAAATTTACCTACCGTTCCAACATTCTGAGATGCCTTAAGCTACTCGAAAACTACAAAAGATATTGACGGTTCCATAGATGGGCAGAAAAACAATTAACTGAAGCTGAACGCAGATAAATTAAATTAAGGCTATCATAATTAGCTCCCTTCCTTTCTTTCCTCTACTTTACCTCAACAACTGCTCCTTACACTTCTTTCCAGCAGTCGAAAACCTGGGAGTAATCTTTGATCAGAACCTCTCTTCGAATAACCATGTTTTCCAGATTACCTGTAAATCCATAAACAATACTTAAGATTCTGTTCAAAAAAACAAAAAGCTCCTTGTGACATATCTTGTTTTCTCTCACTTCGACTATGGTTGCTTGGTGAATGGAGGGCTGTCCACAAGACTGAAGAGACTCATGAATTGCTTCATAAAATTCATCTTTGGGATTCCCATGTTTCCTGCTTGTACACAGAGTTGGCTCTATCCTGCTTCCCGACAGTATTTTCCTTTTCCAAGTCCTCAGACCAAAAATCCTTACTTTATGTTCCTCTATTTACTCTCCTGATACCAGATTTTGAACAATTGATCTATACATCCACTTCCATAAAACCACTTCCTTCATCATTCGTGCCATCTCCTTTTGGAGCTTCTTTCCTGCCCCCTTACGTCAATTCACATCTACGAATTCCCACAAACAACTCCTATTCCAACACTTACACATATATTAGTACCAGAACAGTAGTTCTACCTATATAAACATGCATTTATAAGTATAAACGGAAAGATATTTCTTGGATGGAAGTTTTGAAGCTTGGAACACAATTCTGAGCTAAAAGGATGGCAGGATAGCATGATATAGCAGAATCCCCACCAGCGTTTCCACATTTTTTTTTCAATTTATTTTTTTCACTCATTTAAAAAATCCCTTCTGCCCAAATATATTCAAAATATTATATGTAACTTCTTGTTTCATGTCAGCATAATTATATTACTAAAAAAAAATTATTAAACTGTGCTAATCATTATTTTCTTTTTTCCCTCTAAAAATTATGGAATTTTCCAAAAAAGGGAACTTTTTCACAAGTGGGAAACCCTGCTCTTCACACTCATGATGTAACTCACTCCCCACCACTTTTTTTTAACACTAATTATCTCTGCAAAATCCATCAGAAAAATTCGGGTCTAATTGTCTTTTTAATGATATAACCTAATTTTGACTGACCAATAAAAATTTAAAATTCATCTAAGTATAAAATTTAAATAACAAATAATAACTCTTGTTGAAATAACAAGTGATATAATTAATTTTTTTTTTTCACTTTCTCAATCATTGCCAACATCGTTTGGAGTTTTTCAACATTCAATAATGTTTGTTGTTTTTTTCCCTAAAAATATAAAAAATGAAGGCCAGAAGTAATTAAAAAATAAATTGTTAAGTTCTCAACATACGTTACCTATATTAATCAACTTGACAAATTATGATTAAACGTCTATTATTCTATTTAGATAATATATGATCAGTGGCATAACACTCAAAATGTAGCAAATATGCTACCATAATGGTACCATGAAAAAATGAACTGATTACAAAAGACAAAGCAACATGAAGTTATCGAAGATCTGGACTTTGTCGAGTTTCAGAGATATGTAGGAGAAAGCTTAAAGTGTCGGCCTCAAAAGAAATTCTACCAAAATGAAAGAGATGCGAGTGCATAGTAGGAAAAATCTTGTTTACATCAACCAACTAAACTCGGGAGTATTATGAGTCAGGAAGGAGGTGCTGATGAAGATATTTGGAGCGATACAAGGAAAGCCCAAAAAGGTCATTACATGTTGAAAACAGAGATGGCTGGGGCAGACGCTTGAGCTCCACGTTATAATACGGCAGAGTCTAGAGTGGAACACCAAGGCCAGCAAAGAAGTGGACGAACCTAGAACAGGAGTCTCTAAACTTAATGGACATTGATATCGAGAGCTGGACTACGCTCTACAGGCTGCGTTCAGACCTTTTCTGAAGTCCCGTGTGCCATGGCTTCTCCCAAAATATCCAGTTCTATAAATGACACATTTCATCAGCCAAATGAGCTTTTTAAGTGAAAAAAACAACAACATACAATAGATGTTTTAGTAACATTGCGTATGGGTAATTTGCTAAATTTCATATTTTTAAACTTACATCATTTCATCAAAGAAACATAGTTTGGAGGACCCTAGTATATCCATATCTATCATACATTGCATTTCTGACCGTTTTGTATTTCACTTTAATTTAGTTATGTATCATTTGTCAATAATTGCGTTTCCATCTATATTGCCTTTTATTTTACTATAATTAAAGAATACTGTAATTAATGCTAATTTTGCTTACTACTTGCCATTTTTCACCTACTACTATAAATCTGTAAATATTATCAGGTTGCCTGAACAGATTTCTTATTTATTTGTACCTAATACCAATATTTATTTTTTGTATCATGCTCTTTTAGCAATGATGAAGACCTACAATATAGGTAAAAAAATAGCAATTAAAATAAATGCTACTACAATATATAGTGTGTGTCTACTGACCACACCCCTAATAAACTTCTTACAAGTGAAGTTCTGACCTCCAAACCATTATAAGTTATTTTCCCATCTATTAATAATCCCCTCCATTGCTCCAAGCTTAGTCCTCTAATATGTGAAAAAACAAAAAATTAACGTAGTTTGGCAATGGCAAAATTTACTGAATGTTATCAAATAAATGGTCAAAGGTGATGTAAAATGAATTTTGATTCAATCTATAAATCTTGTGAAGGTAAAAGTCAGAGGTAATGGATATAAAAACAGGTCTAATGCTTACAAGAAATATTAAGAGATACTAAAGAATAAATTTTGCAAGATTTACAAAATTCTAAACCAATGAAGATATTTTCATAACTTTGATTTTTTCCTTAATTATTAAATCTGTACCCCAGAGATAGAGGACACCATGTTACATTTTTGTATTTGATCGGGAAGCTAATTTTCCATAACTAACAGCTATTAAAATTTGTTTCCTATTTACTGAATTATTTGTATTAAATGCAATTGTATTAAACTGGATAGAAGTTTTTACATTATAAATTACAGTTGATCAATAGAATGTTCAAGTAGTAATATTTAAATTATGTTTATTAGAAATAATACACAAGACATTCAACAATTACAAAAACTATGTTCAAATTGAATCAAATCCTTCATTGAAATTACATAAAAAAAGAAAAAAGAAGATAAAATAAAAACATCCATATAATACATATTTTGTAATTGATTTAATATGTTTAACTTTTTAAATTAACAATTAAAAACAGTTGTTCTGGTACAAAAACTATTTGTCGTCTTCAACTGCCATAGGCTCTTCACCCTTATCTTCTAAATCTATTATTTCCTCCTTAACTTCCGGTTCAGCTTTAGGTTCTGGTTTAGCTAAAAGTGGCCTAATTTTCTCACTAATTTCATTTAATGTCCTCATAAACTGTCTCTCTTTAGCCTAAGGGGAAAAGATGAAGTTTTTTTAGTAACCATGTTAATAATAAAATTAATAAACTGTAATATCAATTCTCAACAATAAAAAAAAAAAAAAGCGGATGGAGAATTGATAATGTAGAAACATATTAATTACACAAAATAATTAAATTGTGGTGAATTCGTCAATTGTGAATTCTTAAATGATGATATATAATAAATAATGTAAAAATACAACATATCGTCGGCACCAAGTTACGGCAGGTAAGCATTTTTACTAACATGGTGCCGATAATATCTGCAATACAAAACATTCATAATTTACTTTTAATTTGATTAATAGGCTACATATAGAATAAATATTATAGTGTAATACCTGTAAAACTGACAACTCAGAACTAGTCTGTGAAAGACGATCTCGATAATCCCTTACATCTGCATTGAGATCTTTAATATATTTTTCAGACTTTGATGAAGTTTCTTTAATTTTACCTACAAACAAAATAATATCATACTGATAATATCCATTTAATCATTTATGTACAGATAATGGATAGACTAAATAACTATGATAACTATACAGTTTATAAAAACAGAAAATAATATTCTTAAACACTAAGGTCCAAAATTCTTATTATTTATTCTACATACTTAATTCATCACGAAGTTTCCCAAGAGATTTTTCAGTGTCTAATCTGGCACTTTCGCTCCTTGCTAATTGTTCCATCAATTTACCAACATCTACGAGTGTACCATTGAACACAATCATCTCTGAAATAAATTCATCGATTAATATATAAATACATATCTATTGTAAAGATTTTTAATAAGTTTTAAAAAATTTAAATATTTACAATTGAAAAAGGAAAAAAAAAAAAAAATCATTGTATATTTTAAGAAATTTTTTTAAAGAGACGATTAAAATACAAATGAACAATTTGTTTCACTATATAAATAATTTTGATTGCATATTGTTTTATATGAAATACAGAATTTATTATAAATATATATATATATTTTTTTTTTCATAATAATACCCAGTTATTTAATACCATAATTAAATGGGTATGAGGAGGTGAGAGGGAAGAAGTTCTTGATTAAAATTTGGTTCATTCATTAAGTCCAAATAATAGTAAGGGCGAGGGTGGCAGGCAACCTGATAACCGTAGTTTGATAGAAAAATAATTATGTGTTCAAATCCTGGTGGGACTTTTAACTCGACGTAATTCTCCCGCCTTCTCTTATGGCCTGGGAAAAAACCCGTGTAATCTAAAAGGCAAGAAAGGAGAGACTTAGGTCCAAACAATAATTCAAATTCGTGTTACAATAATTAATTTCACATAATGATAATCTGATGCAAATATTAATCAGGTGACAGATATTAAGCTGTAATAAGGTTGAGAATTTAGTTCTGAAGGCGAATTTGCGAGAAAGAATAATTTGATGATGTATTTGATGTCTAATTTATGACTTCAACAATAACACAGTTTTTAAGATTTACATGTTTTGTGCCAGCAGTTTGTAAACATTTAAGTCCCTCTTTTTCAACTTAATGAAGGTGACAAAATTTCGGTAATCGGAGTAGTAAATGAAGTTAGTTTTCTGATGGCCAAGATTTAATCTTTTCCTTATCAATATATATTTTTTTAATTATGATACCTCATTTAAAGGATCATTTTCAGATTCTTTATTATCATCAAGTCCAAACAATGGTGGTCGAATTTTAGTAACCGATAAACTATGCGAACTTTGCTAAGCAGTTCTTGATAATAACTAAATAAATAAATATTAATGTTTAACATCATCATATCCTGGCAAAATAACTACATAGCCGCCGAAAACCGTATATTCTCTTCCCGTTCCCTAGCTTGTCATGCATTCTTTCCGAAAATCTGGACTTATTCAAAACGCCACAGGACAAATTGTTAAAAATTGAGACATCTGCTCACTTTATACTAAATTGGTATCAATATTTTTTAAGCAGAGTAGTACATACAGTTAGGGCAGTAGAAGTGATGTTGAATAAATTTATAAATTTTTGTGATGTTCGTAATAAATAGATAATTTTCCATACTTGACCATTTATTTATGGCTAATGTATTAAAAAAACAAAAAAAAATTAGTATCACTGTCTAATGCTAATAACCTAAATGCTACCTCTGATGATAAAAAGATCCCACATCATTAATGTAATAGAATAATAGTTGATGATTACAATGACAAAGGATTATCATTATGAATGAAATTTTATTAAAAAACAAAAACACATTGTACTAGTTGAATATATTTGTTTTGAAATTATTAAATTGATTTCAAATAAAATGTCTTTAAATAACTGGAAATTTCTAAGTCCTGAAGATGAAATTTTTTGACTAAAATAAATCCAAAAAATCAGCACTACTCACAATTTCCTTTCTCTCCTGGAATGTACTGATAACTTATATTGAGTTTTTATGTACAAAAAAAAAAAAAAGAAAAAAAGATTGATGTGATCTTAGAAGACTAGTAATACACTAAAGTAAATTTAGACCAAAACGTAGCTTCTTTGCCTTGAGCAATGAGAAATTCTTGTTCAAGCATAAAGTAGCTCAAATAAAATACCATAATGAAGTTATTGTGAAATGAAATTTCATACTTACGGCCTGTTTTAATTTCATTATCCTGTCTAGTACCTCCATTTTGTGAGGCTTTTTCTTGACTAGAATAAGGCAGCATTGGTTTAAAAGCTGTAAAATAAATTAGCATTAATAATACAAAATTAAATGACCCTATGATAGAATATTATTAGTGGAGAAATTAAGAGTTACTCACCAAGGAGCTGTGATAAACTTAGATGCTCAGGCATCATTGTACCCTCTGTCCTATCAGTTAGCCTCCTATAGTAGACAGCATCTCTTGAGACTACTTTACTCACTAATTTTCTTACTTGAGACCTGTTAAAAAAAGTAATCAATCTGCTGCCATCAAACTGTTACAACTTAGAACAGTTTACAAGAAAAACATAAATTTAATTAAAAAAAAATAACAGAATTTTTCATTTCTTTTTTAATTCAATAGGAATAAAGAGAAATATATAACAAAGGACACATTTTGGGTATTCCGTAAAAGGGACATGAAGTGATATTTTCCCTATCACGTGGGGAGAATCTCCTAGGACGATCTTCAAACATAAAAGTAAGAGATTTACAGTTTTTATATAACGGCCATAATTCAAGTTCTGAATATAAAAGAACTTATATCTGTTTATTTTATATGTTCAAAAAATCATCATCCTTCTCATTCCTACAACCTCCTCCAATTTAAGTCCTCAGTCGATTCGCATGCCACAAGATCTCGACCTCCTGACATTTACATACCTCATCTCAGTTCTGCCTCATTTTAAAGCTCCTTTGTTGCCTAATTTGTCAATTTCTGGAACCCCCCCCCCATCAAAATCTGACCTGCTCCGTCCTACTCATAAAACCGTCAGATGCCTTTTGACAATGTACATGTATTCCATATAATTTATCATCAAATGATAATGCTGTTCTTTGCTAGGGATATTACAAAAACTTCCTACTCTCAATACCACTTAAGATAACTTTTTCTTTATTCCTAATTTTTTTATTTATTTTATATAATTAAATTCTTACGTGTATTTACTTATTATCCAGCATTTAGATACTTAGGCATTTTATATTGATAAGTTCAAGTTTCCTTTTTCTTAGTTGAAACCTAGAGCTTATTTATAAGAATTTAATTTATTTTTCATTCTTCTTTTCTTATAAATGCATATTTATATTGTTTAAACATTGTATATAGTTTTAAGCGTTTTGCATATAGCTTATTCACTTAATGCTTTCCTTACTTTTTTTTTTGTTATCTTTTCTATTTGTACAATTTTGTTATTCTCAAGGGACTTTGTACCAGAATAAAGTTATTTTCTATCTATTTATCTATAACTGAAAGTACCCATTTTGAAGAATTTGTCATTTTTACTGAACAGCCTACAGAATAAAAAAAAGAAGATAATTTAGGTGGGAAGGGCAAGAACACAAAAAAAACTGAAGAAACTTTTATCAAATGATGACATTTCAGCCATAAGATAAGCAGGCCTTTATCAGTGAGTTCAATGATTTATCCCAAAAATAATACAAATAAAGTTTATAAAGATTTAAGCTGGAGGAAAGTTGCTCCAGATAGGGGGATCTGGCATTGATGCCTTGAATACAGCAGTTCTATCAAGTAATCAACATTCAAGATAGCACTATTTTCATCACAAACTACACATATATAAATTCAAACATCCTGTTATACCTGGATAAGGTCAGTCCTAGGGAAAATATCAGATCTTCGACATCTTTGTCATAAATATACCCACATCGAGTAGTGTCAAAAAAATTGAAAGAAAGAAGAAGTTCTTTATGAAGAGTGATCAATTTCGCTCTCTCCCTACGCGGCTCTTTCTCATTTTTCTTATCTTTATCATTTTCTTTGTTTTCTTTATCTTCTTTATCACCCTAAAAACCATACATACAAACAGTGAAAGCTACATGAAATAATTTTTTTAATAAAATATATCAGGTGTTCTTTCAAATAAAGATTGATATTTTGGCATCAGATTATTTTTTACAAGAGATTAACTTTATTAACCCATTATTTGTTACATACTGGTACTGCTAAATGGAAATATAAATAGAATTTTTTTTTTTTTAATAACATGATTTAATGACTTTAGTAATTGATTTCATGTAAAAAATTAACTAAACAAAAAATACTTGGATGTTAACTAAATTTGTTTTATAACTGCTATAGAAAGTTTCTTAAGAGCAACATAATAAAATAATTTCAGTCCTTGAAAGGTTAATATAGATACAAAATATTTATAATTAAAATTATTATTTAAAAATATTATACAAAGAGATTTCATAATCTTCCACTGGAAATGTGAAATTATTTAACCCATCGAAATACAAACTACAAATTCAATTTTGATGATAAATTGAAGTAATATCTGCTAAAAGTATTTTTTTATTTTTTTTTTCTGCCTGTAAAATAATGAATTTCAAAGCTATATGACCTATATTTCATTTTACCTCTTCCATTTCCTCAGGTTCATCAGCATGAGCCTCAGATTCTTTATCTTTGGCCTTATCTGTTTGATTTGAGTCTTTGCTATCACCAGATTCTTTATTCTCTTCCTTAACATCTTCAACTACTTCCTTTCCATCTTTCTCCTTCTTAGTTTCCTGGAATTATAAATTGCTCGAATAACAAATGCTACATAAGTTACATCACTTATTTCTCCTTATATATCCTTTAGGAAGCTTATACTTATCAACCCACTTCTATCATACAATTTTTAATTATATGATGTAGAACAAAAATATGTGAAATAAATGTCATTTTGTCACCACCTAATTGAGATTGGTATATTGGTCTAGTATTTAGCATCAGATTGATTTTTATTAGGGATTAACTTTGCTAATCCATTACATACTGGTATTGCTAAATGGCTATTATTGCTAAACAAAAGAACTAAACTAACATAGTCAACTGTTAATTGTGATCTATTTAATGAAGAATCTCTATATCTGGGGTTATCACGAAAGAATATGACTCATTGGGTGAACCGGTCATAAAGGAACATCAGACTTACTGTCTCCTACAAAATATAAATTCTCTGAAATAAAGGATGGATCACGATAAATTCTTGAAAATGATTCAAGAAGCTGAAACGGCAAATAAAGAAATAAAATAATAACCTATTTTATTGGTGAGCTGTGGAATAAAACCAACTATTATTTTTTATCACCAATAACTATATTATATATTAATTTGTTTAAAATCTTTATATTTTTAACGATACATTGTATATCAATATTTATTACTGTTATGTGAACAGGATAGCTCAGTGAAACCAGGCACTGTTTTCGTATTCTCAAGAGCCCATGTTCGAGTCATGCTGTGGCGGATAATTATTCTGTTATTTATTTCTGGAAATTTGATTTTAGACTGGAACCATTAGTAAATAATCAAAATTTTTTCTAGTATATATTTATCCATATTATATCACTCCTAACAAAGAGAGATGATTTAATTAATTTCAATTAAACAAAATGAAATAAAGGTTCTTGAGAGGAAGCTATTATGAAAAAAAAAGGCATTTAAAATTGTAAAATAAAAAACTAAAGTTTAATTTTTTAATTTATTGCATGTGTACAATCGATATTCCCGAAACTGCATACCATGAATGACCTTTAATTTAGTACATAAGTTAAATATTATGTGAGAAAAAATGAAATAAATCTTACTTTATCATCTTCTTTTTCTTTTGGCTTTTCCTTTTCTTTTTCCTCCTTTGATTTATCTTTATCTTTCTCTTCTTTAGTTTTATCTTTTTCCTCCTTCTTTTCTTCTTTCGGTTTTTCTGGGGCCTCTACTATAGCTCGGTAAATGTTGAAGCCGAAATCTCTCATCAGCATTTCATTAAAAAGTTCAGCAAAAACAGAGACTTCAAAACTATGTTCCTGAGGGTTAAAAACTATATTTAAAAAATATAAGTAAGTATAAAATATGAATGCATTTTAATAATCATTGTTATGCAAAAACCATTGAAGTTATCTGGACTGGTTAGTTTTTAGTGAATAAATAAAAAATTTAACTTTTCAAGTTTAACTCGCTTTCTTTCTCAAGTAGCTACTGTACTTCATGTGAAAACAACTTAAACTTTTCATAAAACTAAAACAAACCTTAGTTTCATCTTGTCTGTAGCCTAGAAGGACCGATAATGAATAACAATGGCAATCAAACTTGCCAGATTTGGCTGTTCTGTTTGGATGCACCAAGATACTAGGTTTTTTGGGCAGCTTATACCTCTTTTCCAATAGCAGTCGCTCCTTCTCATCAAGCTTTTTAGGTTCCTCTTCCTGGAAAGTGGAAATAGATTTACAATAATTAGATTAGTATAATAATTATCAGACTCTAATGATATTTGACAGCAATAAGAGTGAGGTAATCTGATAAAATCATTGTAAGTAGTCACTCACTTAGAGCAACGAAAATTATAGTGAGTAGTCACTCACTTAGAGCAACGAAAATTATAGTTTGTAAACCTTAAGGTACTATTTCAATGGTACTGCCCACGGCAGCGACCGCCATCCCACACTTTCAACTGTTAATGTTTGTCTAATTCACTGAAACTGCTCACTGTAGCGGCCAAATTTTGATTTAGCATATTAGTTTAAAATAATTTTGAATAAAAATGTTAGCCTTCAATATAATGGTTTTTATTTGTATTGGAAGGGTAGCAATACATGTGATAGAGAGTCGACCTTATTTAACAAATACACCTTTTTTTTTCTTGTTGCAGTTATAGTTGAATAACAAAGTTAGGTTATGTCTACAACAAAATATCAACAATTATCTACGTATTAATGTCAAACTTCCACAAAACGATGGTTTCTTATAATATTTTAAGAACTTAGTATGCATTACTGATTTCAAATTATTATTAGTATGATAATTTCAAGAATAAATATGATATATTTGTAATGAAACACAGCAATGTTTTACCATTTTATCAATAGCTAATCAGCAAATGAGCATAAATAAATGATCTTTTAATATCTTGATTTGAGTATTTACCTAAGGTTAAAATTTTTGGGATTTAGGTATATTTGAATTCCTCTATAAAATACTTTGTTGTCTTAAAAAGATGATTTACAATAGCTCTGTTTAAATTGTAAACAATTCTTCATATAACTTTGGCTTACTTGATGAAAAAAAAAAAAGGAAATGAAACGTATCAAGATGACTGTTATCATCAAAACAATTCTCCGATATGATAACATAACCTAAAACTGCGGCATTGCCAACAGCTTTGCTGCTTCAGGAGCGGTCAGAAAAGAGAAGAATGATATGACTGTGAAGAAGTGCTTATGGAATAGGCTCCTGAAGCAATGTTTAACTGCTCAGTAGGTGCAGTGGGCAGATCTCATCATTATCATAATGAGATATTATCATACTATGGTTTGATATTAAAGCTTCAAACCTCTTTTGAGGACTCAAGAAAATTTTACTCAATCATATAAATATGAGGGAGTTAAGCCTAGTACACACTAAACTTGTCTATAGATGGTTTCGAGCCACGGTCTATAGACACCGTTTTTTGTCTTGTCCAACGTCCACACAATATGAACTTCTCAGTTTCATCTTTGGAGCCCACCATAGAGGATATATGTTTTGTATGGAATGAGTTTCTGTTAAGTGCTAATAACAATTGAAAGAACGCACAAGACCTAGGGTAAATAATACACTATTCAATAAATTAGGACTATGAGACAACATTTGAATTGATTTTAAAACTTTCTCGTTAGACCATAAGTTTACAAAAGAACAGTAAAACTTTGGAAAATAACTATTAACAGCAGAACCAACTACTCATTAGCAGTTTACAGATTGAGACGTGTTTCGTCTCTAGACACCAAGTGACGTCCACTAGGTAAAAATGTTGTACAACATGTCGAATGTTGCATAATGTCTTCCATCCCGTTGGGGAGGCTTTAAACCTGCAATTTTGAGCCTTACACAGGCCTGTAGACGAGGATTAATCTTTAGACATGTCTACTAGCATGGACTAGGCTTTAGAATGACAGTAATGTAAATGAAACAAAATGACACAAGTGTAATTAAGTACATCAACAAAACACTCATTTTCTCACAACAAAGCCAACTTGATTTACAAGACTATCATTTTTAACTTTATATATTTATGTATGAGTAAACATATATAATTAGAAGTTTTAAAGAGCAAACCTCTTTTTTTTTCTTTTCTTCTTCTTTTACTTCTTCTTTCTTAATATCCTCCTTTTTCTCTTTAGTTTCTTTGATATCCTTCTTAGTTGCTACAGATCCATCCTCCGGTGTTGTTGCTTTCTGTTTAGTGTCTTCCTCCTCCTCAGTTTTAATGACTTTAGTTAATCTTGCAGCCAACTGAGATTTAAGTCCTTTTGGAGATAAACAACGAGCTTCCAATTCTTCCCTCAATTCGGAGACCTAATTAATCATATAAATACATTAAGTCAAGTACGGATTGAAGTATATTTTATCAGTTAAGAAGATAAACTACTGCTTTCACAGTTAACATATATCTATATAAATAATTAAAGGACATTATTGAAGTTTCTTTTGATTTATATTCGACCAGTTTAAAGAAAGCTTAATGATGTATTACCCCAGCAATAAAAAATAACCATAGGCTTAGGTAAGGCCTTTTTTATGCTTATGAGTATGGAAAGTGGCATACAAAGTCAAAACCAAGGTAAAACATTTTGGAGAGTTGTATAATAGCTACAAGAATTGGCTAGAGCTGAAATATTTATTTTACAGGAATGCGCAATAATTCTCTAAATAATGAACAAACACAGAACTGGTGTTTTACTTTGCTAACTTTGTTGGACGAATAGTGTAAAAAGAGCTTCATCGATTCATAAATGTCAAAAAGTAATCTTCAATTATTCGAGCAATCATAGAATGCAATTTCACAAATTTGACTTTCTTACGACTCGATCCTGGTTGAAAGATTTTTTATTTATTTGTGGGTAAATGGTTGACTGTCGTGAATAATGAAGAGAAGAATAGTTGGGGTGATCAGTCAAATAAGAAGGCAAAAATAAATGATAAAATTTATTTTGACATTTGCCGACGTTTCGACCTGAAGTTCAGGCCTTCATCAGGGCTAAGAAAAGAACCAGATAACAAGGTATGAGAAACATAAGTAGTGTAGGTAAAAAAAAAAATTAAAGTAAAATGCAGTTGTTAGAATAATGACAGTAGTGAGAAATAAGAGATAAATAATAATAATCGGTACAAAATAAACATAATCAAAAAAGGTGACATATTAAAAGTATTCTTTTCATTTATTTCTTCAGAAAATCATATTATAATAGATATTGAAAACTACACTAAAATTATAGCTCCATAATGATGGGTGGATACATCTCATCCTCAGGAGATGCCATTCCAAAATTGGCTGAATGAGCCTGAAAGTAGGCAAAACCCTCAATATACTCTAAGAGTGAGCAGTAATTAATTAGACATTAGCTATACCTACACCATGACAAGTACTGTATCAACTATCAAGAAACACCCGATAGCGAGACAATATGATTAAGAAAGTAAATGTATCACTGTTTTTCAGTATACATAATGTAAGTGAATGACAGGTGGAAACAGTCTTCGTAAAAACATGGTTTAACTGAACCGGGCTTTATTCTTGTAGGGCTTAATATCATGAAACTCCAATAAAAAAATCTGGTGCTTGCAACACACAACTTTCACTTAATAATCAACTTTGAATAGAAATATAATAATTGGTAATTGGTTGACTGTCGTGGATAATGAAGAGAAGAATAGTTGGGGTGCTCAGTCAAAAAATGAAGGCAAAAAATAAATTATAATATTTAATTTTTACATATGCCGACGTTTCGACCTGAAGTTCAGGCCATCATCAGGGCTAAGAAAATAACCAGATAACAAGGTATGAGAAACATAAGTAATGATGGTAAAAAAGATAATAAAAAATGAGAAAATAAAATAGATAGATATAAAGTAAAATGAAATTGTTAGAATAATGACTAAGAACTAAGAGATAAATAATACAGACCGTTACATAGTGTGGAATGATGAAGTAGGCATAATCAAAAAGGGAGTGACAAAAGTGTTACATTGGGAATCTTAGAATAAAATGTAAAAACATAAAAAAGAAATATAAAGTTATATAAGAAATGAGAATAAAATAAATAGTAAAATTAAAAACATTGAGAATGGAGTAGTTAGATAGAAAATTGAGATATTGTAAAGTCTATCAAGATGTACAGACAATGTATAATATAATAGAGAGTTAACAACAGAGAAAAGGAATGAAAGGAAGGAGGGAAGAAATTGAGAAAGCTGAAATAAGAAATAAACAAAAGAAGTACTACCTTTCTCCTCAAGTGTCAAGGGGAGAATAAAGTCGTTACAAAGAAGGTGGAGAGAGAAGGGATGTGGTGTAAGAGATAATTGGAAATAATATTACAGATGGAAGCGCGTGACAACTCCTTATTTTCTTTTGAAGTGGTGAAAAAATCTTTTGAGGACTCAAGAAAATTTTACTCAATCATATAAATATGAGGGAGGGAGTTAAGCCTAGTACACACTAAATTTGTCTATAGATGGTTTCGAGACACGGTCTATAGACAGTTCAGTTTTTTGCTAGGAGAGTTTTTTGTCTTGTCCAACGTCCACACGATATGAACTTCTCAGTTTCATCTTTGCAGCCCACCATAGAGGATATATGTTTTGTATGGAATGAGTTTCTGTTAAGTGCTAATAACAATTGAAAGAACGCAATAACGTTGGTGGATGCACAGGACCTAGGGTAAATAATACACTATTCAATAAATTAGGACTATGAGACACCAGTAATTTGAATGGGTTTTAAAACTTTCTCGTTAGACCATAAGTTTACAAAAGAACAGTAAAACTTTGGAAAGTAACTTCTTCCGATAACCGTTAGAGATGACGCCACCTCCACATCCCTTCTCTCTCCACCTTCTTTGTAACGACTTTATTCTCCCCTTGACACTTGAGGAGAAAGGTAGTACTTCTTTTATTTATTTCTTATTTCAGCTTTCTCAATTTCTTCCCTCCTTCCTTTCATTCCTTTTCTCTGTTGTTAACTCTCTATTATATTATACATTGTCTGTACATCTTGATAGACTTTACAATATCTCAATTTTCTATCTAACTACTCCATTCTCAATGTTTTTAATTTTACTATTTATTTTATTCTCATTTCTTATATAACTTTATATTTCTTTTTTATGTTTTTACATTTTATTCTAAGATTCCCAATGTAACACTTTTGTCACCCCCTTTTTGATTATGCCTACTTCATCATTCCACACTATGTAACGGTCTGTATTATTTATCTCTTAGTTCTTAGTCATTATTCTAACAATTTCATTTTACTTTATATCTATCTATTTTATTTTTCTTTTATTTAGATCTATTTTATCTAGATCTAATCTATTTTATTTTCTCATTTTTTATTATCTTTTTTACCATCATTACTTATGTTTCTCATACCTTGTTATCTGGTTATTTTCTTAGCCCTGATGATGGCCTGAACTTCAGGTCGAAACGTCGGCATATGTAAAAAATAAATATTATAATTTATTTTTATTTTTTCCTCGCGCGGGCTCATTACCGCGTATGGGGAGCGTCCCACGGGTGGCGGATGTGGGGATGGTCGGTGGAAATTCCTTGGAAGTTCCTCCCGGCTAAGTCCGATGGACTCGCTGACCAACAATGAGAGGGGCCCTCCAGACTTGCTGGAGGGAGGGGACCTCCAGACTTGCTGGAGGTAGGGGCCCACCAGACTTGCTGGAGGGTGTGACGTAGGATTGAACGCCCTACTCACATATCTTTAGTTCACCAAACACCACAAAAAGTCATGGATCTCCCTAAGGTAAAACGCTCATTATCCGGAGGTAAACTAGTCCCCCGTTCGGGTCTCCGGGTGGGGACTGCTTTAGGGGATTCATGGCGCAAGTTGAAATATAGGGATTTAAATATTGGTACGTGGAACGTAAGGAGTTTAAACACAGCAGGGGGGCTAAAATCGGTCGCGAATGAGGTAAATGGGTACAATTTGGATGTCGTGGCTCTGCAAGAGGTTCGCTGGCCAGGGGAGGGCTCGATGAGGGAAGGGAAGTACACTATTTGGTACGGAGGAAGCGGGAATCATTGTTTAGGTACCGGGTTTCTAATTAGGCGTAGATTACTATCCGCTTTGAGGGACGTACAATTCTTTAGTGATAGAATTTCGGTAGCTACATTTCAGGGACGTTGGTTTAAAATCGCATTAATAAACATACATTGTCCGACCGAAGACAGTGACGATGAAGTCAAAAGTGAATTTTACGATAAACTCGAATGGGTTTATGATAAACTACCACGAAACTACATGAAAATAATTGTAGGTGACGCGAACGCAAAGGTAGGAAGGGAAGAAGTTTATATTCCGACGATTGGTAAAGAAAGTTTGCACGAATATAGTAATGATAATGGGATCCGTCTGATAAACTTTGCCATCTCGAAAAACCTGATAATTAAAAGTACGACGTTTAAACATAAGGATATTCATAAATATACTTGGACATCACCGGATTCGCAAACACGAAATCAAATCGATCATGTCTTGATACAACACAGCTGGCAAAGCAGTATAATTAATGTACGGTCTTATCGCGGAGCAGAATGTGGGTCGGATCATGAATTAGTAATCGCGAAACTTCGACAAAAACTTAATATAAAAAAGAGAAAAGAAAACCGTTTCGATTTTGAGAATTTTAATTTGGAAAAATTAAAAAATCCATCAATTAGAAACCAATTCGAGCTAGATGTTAAGAATAGGTTTGAAGCTTTAGAGCTTCCTGACGAGGACCACGAGGATATTGACAAGTTATGGATAGAGATCAGAGATAATATTAAAGCGGTCGGTAACTCGTGTCTAGGAAAAAAGGAAAATAAGAATAACAAACCGTGGTTTGATGAAGATTGCTTAAACATGTGTGAAAAAAGAAAAGCCGCTAAATTAAAAGCTCTAAATAATCCTAGCGAAGACAATCTGGAATACTTCCGAATCTCAAAGAACGAAACGACAAAATTGCTCAAAAATAAAAAAAGGGAGTATCTTAAAAATAAAATAATTGAAATAGAAACTAATAGAATTGAAAATAACGTAAGAGAAATGTACAAAGGTATAAACAGATCACGTAAATATGTAGGGCCCGTAACGTCTGGAATTAGGGATGATAATAACAATATTCTGACCGATCCGGTTGACATATTGAATAAGTTTAAGGACCACTTTGACAATATTTTAAATACGGTAAATTATGATCTGTGTCCTCCTTCTGAGTACCAGAGTGCTGAACCATTAATAGAAGGACCAAGTAAAGAGGAAGTTGAAGTAGCTATCGGAAAATTAAAATCATATAAAGCAGCGGGAATCGATAATATTCCTACTGAACTAATTAAGGCATGCGGAGAAGCTGGAGTTTCTAAAATACATCGGTTGGTTAAAAAGATCTGGGTGAACGAGAAATTACCTGAAGAATGGAAAGAATCTATTCTTATTCCGATTCACAAAAAGGGTCCGAGGACGGATTGTAATAACTATCGAGGAATTTCACTGCTTCCGGTATGTTATAAAATATTCACTTTAATCTTAACCAGTCGAATCACGGAATACGCCGAGGAAATTATCGGAGACTACCAATGCGGATTTAGACGGAATCGTTCGACTATTGATCAAATATTTTCTTTACGGCAAATATTAGAGAAAAAATTGGAGTATAACGGTATTGTTCACCAGCTGTATATAGATTTTAAAAAGGCTTACGATTCTATTGACCGCCAGAAACTGTATAATATTCTAATCGAGCAGGGGATTCCAAAAAAACTAGTAAATCTAGTCAGGATGTGCTTGACGGAGACACTCAATAAAGTTAGAATCGGTAATAATTTGTCCGAAAAATTTGAGGTTCGTTCGGGCTTAAAACAGGGGGATTCTCTTTCGCCTGTCCTGTTCAATTTGGCATTAGAACATGCCATTAGGGAAGTAATGCGAACCGAGAAAGGGTTGGATCTGGGCGGGACAACATCCGTGCTGGGCTATGCTGATGATCTGGTACTGTTAAGCGAAGACGTTGAAACTATAAAACTAAATACGACAACGTTAATGAAAGCCGGTAAAGAACTAGGACTCGAAATAAACGTGGATAAAACAAAATATATGGTTAGCTGCAAAAATGGCGATACTACTGGTGATATCGATATAGATGGTAATATGTTTGAACAGGTAGATAAATTTAGGTATCTAGGTTCTACGATAACTAGAAAAAACGAAATTGAAGAAGAGATTAAGGTTAGACTGAAGGCGGGGAATGCTTGTTATTTTTCTGTGACAAAACTACTTAGTTCGCGCCTCTTGTCCCGAAACTTAAAAATTAGAATCTATAAAACAATTATCTTGCCTACAGTTCTTTATGGATGCGAAACTTGGCCGCTTACATTAAGGGATGAGCAGCGTCTTAAGGTTTTTGAAAATAAAGTATTGCGTAGAATATTCGGACCGAAGAAGGATGAGTTAACCGGAGAGTTCAGACGGTTACACAACGCCGAATTGCGTGAGATGTATCCGGGTAATATAATTGAGGTAATTTCATCGCGGCGAATCAAATGGGCTTGTAAAGTTGTTGGGCTTAGTAACGAGAGAATTCCTAAAAGGTTAATATTTGCTGCGCCGAATGGTAAGCGTCCGAGGGGAAGACCGAAGCGAAGGTGGGAAGATTGCATTAAAGCCGATCTGAAGGAACTGGGTTTGGACGGCGAACGGTGGAGGGAGGTGTGTAACAAGCGATTGGTGGTGTCGGCATCGAACCTTCGGGTTCGCTAAGCCTTATTATTATTATTATAATTTATTTTTTGCCTTCCTTTTTTGACTGAGCACCCCAACTATTCTTCTCTTCATTGAATAGAAATAATTTTCTGGCCTTATTGGGCTACTATAAAATTTTTGAATTGCATTTTTAACTGAGCTAAAGCTAAAAGATTGCAGCTAACAAATCATAAATACTATTAAAATAACAAAAATCCTATTTATTATATCACCGGTTCATTACGGATTGTACGATCTGTTGATTATAGATTGTAAGACTATTGGTAATTAAACTGTTATTTTTCATAGCAAAGTTTACTAAAACGGAATTTAGAGATTTGCATTGTATGTCATAGACAGGCCAAAAGTTGTCACACTGATTGTAAGTGGATTCTGTTGCAATATCGGACGCAAAGGGAAAATTTATCAAATTATTAACCAATTTAATTTTTTAAAAGGTTACATAACGATTTTTCGGAATAAACAGACGACAGATACATAATTATTTAAATATAACATCAGATCGAGAGTTATCAAACTGTAGTAAATATATTTCAGGTTATAAACGTACCCATGATATATTTTTATATTTCACTTCTTCTTTCATACAAGTACAATGAAATAGTATCTTACACAATGTCACTACCATGAATCAGTTTAAATTTAAATATAATATCAGATCTATAATCACTAAACAACAGTAAATGTATTTCAGATTATAAACATATACTTTAAACATCCATGAAATGATTTTATATTTTACTTCTTTCACACAAGTACAATGAAATAGTTTTTTTAACAATGTCATTGCCTTGGTTAGGGGATTTTAAATACTTTTTCAAACTTAAAAATATTTTAAAAGTTTACATTTAGTTAGTAAATTTTATTTGATATCCTTGAAAACATGTGATTTACGTTAAATATTGTTAGTTTTAAGAAATTATTCTTTATAATTTTTTCACCACTCTCAGTTACCTTCTACAATTTTCTATATTAGATATTGTTTTATTCTAAAATTCTATGCCTTCCAACGATATATCATACATATACCTTCTGATTAGTATTTTCGGAGATTCATTTTCGACCTGAATAAGCATTTTAATTTTTTTATCCTTTATTTAATTATCAAATTCTTTCAAAAGTTATATTTAGCATTTTGTCATAACTTTTTATAATGAGAGATAGTTAATTATTTGAAATTAACCATATTAAAGGTACTTTAGAGGAAGACGTATATGAATATTTTGCATTTAAGCCCTATAAAGTGACATCAACGGGGATAAGACCTAAATAATACTAAAGACCATTTAATTATATAATGATACACCAATTTTAAATCAAAATCGTAAGAGCCGTTTATGAGAGAATTATAAAAATGTGTTTCAGCGTTGATATAGTGGCATTTCTGGTTAGCTGATTTTAGGGAAAAAGTTGCTATGACATCTAAGGCATATACCTATCTTAAACACGTAATATCAGTTTCGTACAACTTTTCGTTTTCGAGCTAGAGTGTTCACATACACACAGACCGTTTTTCGGGACTTGGTTATTTGGACTCAGGGTACCTTAAAACATGTATTTCCATTAAAAACTCAGACTCGAAAATTTTCACGATCGCAATACTTACCCTTACTATATATTGCGTATATAGGTAAGTGAAAGTAAAAATAAAATAAACTTGGTATTAATATCACACAGCTGTATTATAATAGCCATATTTAACATGAACCCTTTAAGGTGTGTTCTTCTTATGCCAAGCATATGGAGACATGTTAAAGTTATTCCAGAAAATTTGTAGCATTATAGGGAGGGGGGGGGGGGAGTTAGAATATATTTAATATAATTTATTATTATACCATTTCTTATCCTTCACCCATAATCCTTTTCCTACTTCCGATATTTAACATCGTAATTTCAATCCTGAAGACTTCTCTCTCTCTCTCTCTCCCGTATATCCTATGACGATCGACTTTCCACTATCCTAAAATCCCACACTAATGATTATGGTATTCCAGTAAAACTAGTAAAATTCAGCCTTCCTGTCCTTAATCCTATATTTTACTATATTTACAACTTTTTCTTACAAAATTCTATGTTCTATCTTCCTGGAAAAACTGCCCTAATCCGATTTTTGAATAAAACTTCTAACCCTTCCTTACTCCCATCATATCTTTTTAACCATTCAAAACCACTGGAACAAAATCCAAAAATGAATAGAATGAGCGTCGAAAGATGAATATGGTGCAGAGCACAGACAGCTCCATCAGATAAAAACAAATGAGACTGTAGAAAAAAAGGGTGTTGTTATTTGTTAGTTCAAGTATAATTACACAGTCTACCTAATAAACGTAAAAAGGTTTAATGACATAAAATTTAATTAATGTAGTCAAAACAGTAAAAATGTTCATATTATATACCTTCATGTTCTTGGGATCTAATTCAGAATGATGTTTAGGTTCTCTCTTTGGTTTATCAGGACTCTGCTCACTTTGAGATTCTTTTTCGCCCACCTCTTCTTCCTCTTCCTGTAATAATTAATTACTAATAAAGAATAGTAAGGGAACACCTGATAGTAGCCCCAACCTATTTGAGTCGCTGTCAGTTCTGGATGCCTTGATTTCTAATCTCTAATCAGGTTAAGTACCAGTTAGTAAGGATTTGGTTAAGATAGGAAAGGTAACTAAATCTAAAAGTATGCAATTTCTATGAATGTAAATAATTTTATACTGAATGGGTTTTTAGATCAATCTAAATTTAATTTAAATTAAAAAAAGGAAAAAAAAGAACTAATTAAAATATCTATGTAAAAAATGATGAGATAGACTGGGTGCCTTTTGGTCGTGGTCGTTGAGTTTCCTGGAAAGCGCCTTCTGGTAGCTGAGTTGAAGCCCATCCCACTCCAGGCGAGTAGGGACACATGACCAAACGTCCGGAACAAAGATGACCACTGTCTCTACCCTTGCTGGGTAGGTCTTCCCTCGATGGATACTCTCCCCTCGGTGGTAGTGGACCTCCATAAACCGAAACCTGTAAAACCAACTCGTCTAGCTCTCTTTTTCAACAAGTAGGAAACAAACCAACAGGTACCAGGAGTACCGCCATGATGTCTGTGTATAATCTCTCCAAAATGGAAAAAATAAGTTAAAATAAAAAATAAAAAAATTAAGAAAAAAAGTTTCCCCACTTTCAACAAACACCGAACTCTGACAAATTTAAATTAAAGCATCATCCATCCAGTTGTAGAAAAAGTATAATGTATTAGCTTTCGAGAGGACCCATGCAGAAATCTTCCCTGAAGAATGGTGAGCTGAGTGTTATTTGTTTTAAATAGATTAGCGCATTGAATAATGATTTAACTGAATATTCCAAAGAAGGGCTGAATGAGAAAGTTAAGTAAAATAAGAAGAAGGTGGAACCAGTGAGTTTGGTAAAAGGAAACAGGATCCACAACAAGGTTGCTGTAGCCGGTAGCTTTGTTGATAGATTGATGTTAGAATAAAATCCAGGAACACATTACGGCGAGGTTAGTAGTAGACAATAAAGAAAGTTACTTTTAACTAGGATTTTTAGATAGATAGGTTTTTAGATAACTAATAATTTAAATTTTTAACAGATACAATAAATTGTACCAGAATGTAATACCCCAAATATGAAGCTTACTAAGAATTCTGTCTCCACCGGTAGTAACATCATAATTAAAAAAAAAAAAAAAAACTATACTGAGCTAAAATTCATATGAAATTAAAGTATACATAGTACTTCTAAAAGAGAAAATACATGATACACAGCAAATATAAAATCAACTACATTTCAAAAATATATTTTCAACATTCAAATTAAATTTTGTAACCTACAAAACATGCATAATGTGAAAATATTTAACACTATAAATTAGAGCTAAGTCTATTATTGCTTTCAGAAGAGAAAAAATGTTTTTAAAAAAATTTGTGCTTTCATAAAGAAACAAAAACTAATGAAGAAGAAAGACTTAATTAAACCAAGCCCACATAGTCTCCATGTTGGGTATTAGAAATTATATTCCAACTAACATAGTTAGAACCTATTCCCTAAATTAATATAAAGATAACAAAATGCAAATGCAGTTATTAAAAGGATAATAAGAAAACGAAGTAGTAACAAGATTAAGGACTGGGAGCTCAACAAAAATAAATTAATGACAGGGATCACTTTTTTATTAATTGTAACTAACTATAACTATAATCTATCAATAAAAAATATTACACCACAAAGGTCTCCCAGTATAATACATCAACAAATTAGGAAAAAAGTGGGGGTGGGAGAAAAAAGTTGAGACCTCCAAAATGCAGAGTTCACTAATACCACTTAATGTACATACAAAACTTCAACCATTTAACTTTATTTGGAGCAGCTGTGGAAATGAAACAAACTTTGGAAACTGGTAAAAATTGCTTGGGCGAGTCATGCCGAAGTTTTGACAAAATTTATCCATTGTTTTATGGAATGCCATGAAACAATGGTTCTGCTTAAAAACAACCTCACATATCAACAACTAACTTTCATATTATAGGATTTAAAGAGAACTTTTGTTTGCGACTGGTCAGAGTTGCCAAAATGTAGCAGTAGAAAAAATATATATAGGTTTATATATATATATATAAAAACTTCCCCAAAATATAACAATTCTGTTCTAGAGATTTTAAAACGGTTATAAAATACATCTTCAACTCTCTCCAAAGACCTTCAGTACAGTGAAGAATCTATTTTTTTTTTTTTTAGAGAGGGTAAGAGAAAACCTTAGAAATAAAACAATAAAAATAGCATAAGAGATATGTATTGGGTACATTTTTAGGAGCCATAATAACTGGAATTAGGGATGGAAATATGAGCCTGGTTGATCTTTTGGAAATATTAAATTAGTTTAAGAATAACTTGGTCATTATTTGGGTAACGGGATTATAACGGTCTATCTCCTCCTGAGCATCAGCCGAATGGTGAACCATTGATAGAAGAACTGACTAAAGAAGTGGAAATGGTCATAGGAAAATTCAGGGCATGTAGGAAGTTGAAGTTCCTAAAATACATCTTTTCATTAATAAGATTTGGAAAAATTAGAGAATGCTCGAAGGATGGAAAGAATCTAAGCTTATTTCGATTCACAAAAAGAGAATAAGAACATATTGTAATAACAATTGAGGAATCTCACTCCTTCCAGATATAAAATATTTACGTCATTCCTATAATAAATCATCCTTAGCTAGTAAAATCATGAAATATGCCAAGGAAATTATCAGCGTCTACCAATTGTGGTTTTAAAACGGATCAAATATCAAATATTTTTGTTAATATAAGTCACAAATATTAGAGAAAAAACTTACGTTATTTTGACTCAGAACTCAAAATATGTAATTCCAATGAAAACTCGGATTACAAAAATTTTCCCAATTTATATAGGTAGGTAAAAGTAAAAATTAGGAATATGATGGTGATTTTTTATGAGCTTAATATAGATTCCAAAAAAGACTCACAAATCCATTAGCCACCAGAAGCATTATAGCATTCTGATTGAGCAGGGAATTCCAAAGAATATGGTATATTTAGTAAGGATCTGTATGATTGGAACAGTCAATGCTTGCTGTAACGTTTAATTATTTTTCCAAAAGTTTGAGGTTGGTCTGAATTTAAAACAAGGTGATTTCCTTTCACCTGTTTCATTCGATATATCTTCAGAATATGCCATTAGAGAGTTAATATGAACCAAAAAAAGTAAGAAAAAATATTCATATTCAGAGATACTGATGAAAGAACCGGTCCTCAAAATAAATGTAGTTGAAAAAATATATGGTTAGCTACAGAAACAGTGACAATTTTGATGATTTAGATAAAGAGAGAAATACATTGTAACATTTTGAAAATAAAGTAATTGAGGATGCTAGTTATTATGCGGGAAATGCTAGTTAATTATCAGTTTGAAAATTTATTAAGCTTTGAGGAGAGCCTTCTGTTTCAAAACCTAAAAATTAGAATTAACAAAACTATTACACTTCCCGTAGTTTTATATGATGCTATACGTGGTGACTTACATTAAGAGAAGATATTTGGACCGAAGAAGGTCAAGCCAACTACAGAATTTAGATGGCTAAACAATGGCTAAATGATGTGAGCACTGTTGGGCTTAAAAGAGAAAGAATTCTAATAAGGTTAAGAAACATGCCGACTGAGATGTAAACCAAAACCAAGTTGGAGGAGTGCGTTAAGTCTAATCTAGCTGAGCTGGGTTGGACATTGGTATCAAACATTTGGCTAAGCTAAGCTTTTTTTTAAAGTTTTATTTTTTTTAATTCAAACCTAGCATGAGATGAACTAAAAATATCAATTTATACATTTTGATATTTAGAAATAGTAGCTTTTTTAAAATATTATGATTATCACTGAGTGCTCCCTGAACACATCATTGAGGATACAGCCCTGGTTTGTTTTCCAAGTAGTCCTACTTCATTTCTATAGCCATATCATATCAGTTATTGTATAGATTTTTCTTTGATAAATAGCCCAAATAAAGAAAAACACCAAATGCCTAAGCATTATTACTGGCACAAACTTAACTGTAGTTAGCATTAGGCAGAGATCAAAGGAAAAACAACAGCCTTTTTGCCAGCAAAAAATTATCTGAAACGAATGTAGTTGGAGATACCTTGTTTTTCATTCAACAAAAAGGTTATGCAATGGATTTATAGAGCAATAATAAGAATTCATGATGGAAACATAAGAGTGGCACCCAATATGATTTTTCTTGAGTGAACACCCTGTCAAAATCAAAAATGAAAAGAATGGTCTGTAAAGGCACAACCAGAGCAAAAATGCTCTTAAATCTAATAGAAGTAATTATGGGTTATTTGAGAACTAAATATAGCAGACATTGGCAAGAGACAGGAGAACCAAGAGACAGGATATTTTATGAACCAACAGGTCTGCGATTTCTCCTGGTAGATGGAAACCAAATTAATTTAAATATAATTTCTAGGCCAAGAAACTTAACTGTAGAAACTAGCCTTTACAGTAGGTATATGAAAGGTTTGGAGACAACTGGTTTGATTGTTTAAAAAAAAATAAATACATATATCTTTCCTTGTCCAAAAAAGATAGATCCTGTGAAATGGGAATGGAAAAACAATGGGAGATAATAAATAGTAAAAAAAGAGCAAATCAGGAAATGTACAAGCGGTTAACCCTGAAACTACAAGTCTTCAGATGGGTTGAACACTCAACATGTATGAATGAATATATAACAGCTAAAATAAATCTTACTCCAAACAAAAAAGAAATTAGATAGATGGGTTGCTGCCAACATAAGCTGTAGCAGAGAGATAAGAGTTCATTGGGATGCTAGAAACCTGCAAGGTATATAGCCCTGGAGCCATGGCCCAAAAATAGACCTCATCTCACGCAAAGGTTTATTGTTGTATATTGTAAATTACGAAAGTGTATGTTAGGCCGACCGGGCACCGAGAGCACAGCGGAGCCGAGCTGAGTCAGCTTATAAAATCGAACCAAAAGTTTGCAATGAGAGGCCAGCCACCAGAAGCTGAGCGGCATAGCAAGGGTCAGCTTCCCTCACCATACCTACTCACCACTGTCACACAACTGTGGGGCTATGTTCCTCAGTATCACTCCTTTTATCCCGCTACTTTTTATTGCACAACCTCTAAAATTATTTTATTTAGGTTCATTGTAAAATATGCTATGGATGAGAAAGAATTCTTAATTGGATGTGTAAGGGAAAATATTCTATTTTATATACAAATATTAAATTTTTCTTTTCAGCTTCGACATGATCATCTTTGTAATTTTTTAAAAATATATTTTCAAAAATGTTATCCGCTTGTTTTCACTGTACAACCTCTCATCAAATTACTCTATTTTGGTTCAGTGTAAAATAGACAATGGATGTGGAAGAATTCTTAATTGAATGTATAAGGAATTCCAACTCTGACACGATCAACTTAGCTATTTTTAAAAAATGTAATATATGCTATATATACTTTTTAAAAATACTATACAGAATATGAGAAGTGTATCGATGCAAGGCAAGTTGCTGACTGAGCTGAGCTCTGCTACACAATCGGTAGCTAGTCAGCCTTATTCTGAGTATAAGGAACCTTGTCTGCCGTTCCAGAGCTGCTGATTTAAAGAATATTAGGCCAATAATTTGAAGACCGGAGCAGGAAATCCATTATGAAAAATGTAAGAAAAGTTTTTATTTTTTTAACTAGTATAAATGAGTTTAGACATGTAAAAAATAAAATTGCTAACGCGGGCCGGGCCACTGAGAGAAAGCTTTATACAGCTTATAAAAGTCAGATTTTTTTCGCCCACAACCACTAAAGGATGCACCAAAGCGAAAAATGTAAACTTTAATAAAGGACGTTAAGTTGTGTGTCGAAAGAGCATATAAACTTTAAAATTTGGTTACGTGGTAAGGTAACTACGATCAACCAACCGACACTGATTTCTACAAAACTTATCAAAAACTGAAACAAATGACTATAAATGGTCCCGTAACTTGGAAATGAGTTCCCTGAGAGGAAACATCGATAAAACCAAATTTTACGTCCACTGTAATCTAAATGGAATAGTAAAAATCAGAGTAGATTGACAGTGGTTTTATACTTTATCACGTAACCAAATTATAAAGTTTATGTACTCGTTTAATTTATTTAAGAGTAGATTTTTCACTTTGATGCATCGTTTAGGAGTTATAGGTGAAAAAACAAACAAAAAAAAATATCTAAAAATGTGACTTTTTTGGATGTAAAAAGTTTTCCCTTTGCATCAGCAATTTCGTTTTTTAAATATATAAACCCATATGTACAAGTTAAAAAAAAAAAAAAAAAAACAACTTTCCTCACATTTTTCATAATGGATTTGCTGCTTTGATCTTCAAATTACTGGCCTAATATTATTTAAATCAGCTGCCATTTTTGAAAGCAGTGGCTCCGGAACGGCAGACACGGTTCCTTTTTACTCAGAATAACATGAATTTTCATAATTTACAATCAAACCTTCTATCTTGCAATGAGGTCGATTTTTGGGACCTGAATCCAGAGCTAATAGAGGAATGGGGAGAAACTGTATAAAAAACCAATGACAAGCAACAAACAATAATTGGGACTTTACTATACATAGACATATATAAATAACATGTAGACCTATTAAACATATTTAATAGGTCTATATTTTAATGGCTCTACAACTCATCCCTGAGTAATAGACGTGGAGCCAGGGCCGAAAAGGCCATAGCATTTTAAGCAAAATTTCAAACTAACAGGCTGATAGCACTCCTTTTAGGTATTAAAAAAATGCTTATCTATCAGCTCAGACAGATTGATTTAAGCTTTAAGGGGCATTCAAAGAAAATTTTCTCTTTGTCATGTTAAGATACAATCTTGAAAATATGTTGTTTTGAATTTTCAAATTTAAAACAATTTGGATAATAAATGGATCACTGGAGATCTGGGTCTAATATCAATGTCTAAAAAATTAAATTTATAAAGAAGTGGATGGTTTATACCATGGTGGTACAATGGTTATGCTTTTGGTCATTGATACGTAAGTTTGAGAAATAAATCTCAATTTGATGTTTTTCTTTGCAACATGCCCACCCAATAACTGCCTCCTAATAAAAAAAAAAAGGGTTCCATCTTTTATACAAAGGATATTCAATATTCATGAAATTACTATCTCCTTCCTGAGCTAATTTGTATGGGTGGAGACATATTTGGCCTAACCTACTTCTACTTGGGTAGGAGAGAGAAAGTACCGACAGAGAAAATAGAAGAGAACGGTAGGGAATAGAACACCAAGCTAAGCAAACTGTGTTCATAGGCAGGAAAATGTAATTGTTTTGATTGCAGTATTGGATAGTTATGCATGCACGTGTTTCTATCCACTATGACAAACACTCGTATTGCCTAATAGGCAGGGAAGAGATTTAAATAAATAAATAAAATCCAAAAATAAATATCTTAACACCTAATGCTCAGCTCCTTAAGAAAGAAATAATATCAAACAAAATTTTGATATTCTCTTACAAAGGTGCTCCATTCATTAATGATTTTTATCTAGCTTTTTAAGTCTTAGACCAATAGATCTCTTTAAAATGTTCATATAACCATCTCTTTTTCTTTTTAAATTGAAACTGAACGGATTATTTTACTCTCCATTTTTACTCCACACCCTCCCCCCAACTTAACTATAATTGGGGAAAAAGCAATTGAGGGGAACTAAAATTCTGACTAGTGGTTTCAACATACCAATGATTTAATAATTTTTAAGTCTATTAAATAAATAAAAAACCTACTCTAATTTAAATAGTTACTAACTAAAATTTTTTGAATATCAGATGCTAGATTTCATAAGTAATTGAGAAGTTAGCACAAGCGAGAACCAACTCAAATAGAAAAGTGTACTTACCACTGAGTACAATTGGACAGATCTATGCCAGTAAGTGCCTTGGTGGTCCTTATGGCAGTTTTGACTAGAACCCCAGGGTCCTCGTTAGGGTTGGGACCATCTAATGACGGAGACCATGGACCACCTATGGCCATGTTCTCTTTACCTCTAGTCCCTACGAGGAAATGGATCAGTCGAGAAGGATGGGATAGAGAATCCTCGTCCACTGTGGATCGTGACCCTTCTCTATCCTCTGCCAGGACTATGCATTTTGAATAGAAGTCTTCTAAACCAGGGCTGGCCATTAACATTACCTGTTGAAATATAAAACATTAAATTTTTAAGAACCTACAAACCAAAATTTAATCAAAAATTTCAAGGCAATTTTGAACTTGAAGAAATAGAATTTTCAATGAACTAAATGATGACAATTTAATAACCAATCAAAGAATATTTACCCGACAAAGTACTTCACAATAATAGGTCCCAAGATCTAAACAAAACCTTTAGTCCCTTCAATTTTTTTTTTTTGGTGCACGACTTTAGCTAAACGCCACTAGACAAAATTTGTTGCAGCTCTTTGGGCTTAACCTCTCTCATCATACCGCCATAAATTATATGTTAATCTTAAAAGTAAATCAGTGTTCGATGATTGTTAGTAATATTATGCTTAGCACACTTCAGCTGTTAAACCTCTGTTAAAAAATAGGTGAAATGACTGTTAAATAAATAAGGATACTTTTGAAGTTTTTAAATGCATTCTAATTCTTAGGCAGTCATGGATTAAAAAATTAAAACCACTTTTCTTCATGGCAGAAAATTTATTTTTTGGTGAATCCAAAACATATCCACGTATTGCATTTTTGCAATTTCTTTATTTACCAGCTACTACTTAAACGAGTATATACATAAGTATTTGTAAAAAATAAGCCTTATTAATTAAAGCTTAGTAGAAGAATATTTGACAAAACGCCACAAGATAGTGAGAGGTTACAGGGAGTATGTCGGCTGATAGCTAGCAGGACTGAGATTTTGAGGAAAGCTTCCCAAGCTACTGCAGGGAGAGAGCTTAATCAGCTTCTTGTAGAGGTAAGATTAGCATACTTTTTTCTCCAAAGCTTGTCTTAAGCGATTCCTGAATGCAGATCGGTTAAGTATACTTTGAAGGTTTCAAAGTTCTTATAATTACTCTCTTCCCTCCCTGTACTTTTAATTTCATGTTTATTTATTTATTTTGATTCAATTTTTCCGGTTCGCATCTCTTAAGTCTCATCTATAATGTCTAATAATAATAATAATATATATCACTGTACCAACTAATGGGAACACCAACTCAGTCTGTGGCGAAAAAATTCGGAAATATCAAACTCTCGCAGCCGAGTTAAAAGATCTGTACAGACTGAACAAAGTGACAGTAAGGGCTTTATTGATCTCTGGCAATGGGCTCATTCCAAAATCCACTGTAGAAGCTACCGAGAAGTTGGGCCTCCCAACAGCTACGATAAATGAAGCCCAGGAAGCTATGCTGCTGAACACTGCGAGAATAGTAAGGAGCTTTCTAAATATCCAATAAAACTACAAAAATTAACATGAAGTGGTTGAAGTTAATTCTTCTCCACTCAAGGAAAATACTTTTTTTTAAAGTGATAAATAATAATAATAATAATGTAACTCTTATAGTACTTTCGTCTGTAAGGAAGGGCCTTGAGCCCGAAGACAATAATGAATCATTCAAAAAATCAAATCACTAAAGTTGTTGACTTTTGATAAAAGGTGGTGGATTTATTTTTTTTTATTATACCATTTTGTCTTTTATCACATTAAGTTTGCATGAATAGAACAAACATCTTCTTGCTTTCTTCCGAATTCATAATGTCAAATAAGAGCACAGGAAAATTATTTGGAATACAGCAATTATTAAAATCCTTGATTCAGCTGGGTCTTAACAAGTATACTGTAATTAGAATTAAACATAACGTAGTCAAAAGAGTATTGTAGTAGTAAACTGAAAGAATGAATGAGTATTACAGTAGAGGTGAGTGTTAGTAAGGGCATGTTCTTTAACTTAGCATTGAGTTTATGGATGGCATCATTTTACCCAGTTAAGAGAGAGATCCAATGCCATTGATGGACACAGCACTGAATTTCCACTCCTACTAGTGGGGTTGATCCCATCTTCTCCACCCACCGCATCCGACAACCCTGTCCAAATCAATCTCTTCATAAAGAGCTTGAATTCACAAATGAAGAGGATTACAGAGCTTTAGTGCCATGTTGGAATTAAGCTCATTTAACAAATTAAATACTGTTTTAGCCAGTGTGATTTAGTAAAAGTTGCTATCTCTCATACTGATAGTTGTAATAAAGCGATTATCAATCTGCGAACTGGCCCAATGTGGAATCACGGCACTAGGCCCTGGAGAAGGTCTTGCAGACCTATATTTGTGAAGTGAGCAACCTCTTAATTATAGGTAAAAGAAAGTCAAGTATGAAGTAAAAGAAAGTTGTCTTTGACCAACTCTAAATCTAAAACTGATATCATTAATTAAAATATAATCACCTTAGCACAGAATAAATAGTCAGCATCAGGAGGTTCTAAGACAGCATTATTTTCAATAATATTATCAACATCCTTATGCAGCACATGAAAAGCACAAGGATAATCCAGGGAAATTGGCTTGCCGACAGGAAAAGTTTCAGTCCATTGGAAAACTGACAGGAAGAAGTCCGATGGTATGTACATGTTTGGATAACGTTTTTTAACTTCCACAACGTCAGCATCATGGCTAAATAATATTAAAAAAAATTAATTTTTATTCTACATATATCAAAAGGATTCACTACTAATTCAATGACAAACCAAGTCTAAGCTAACACAAATATATCTTCCAAATTGATAATCACTAATTTAAAAATTGTTATTCTTACGTATTTAAATTTGTCTTAGGAACTGTAACACTGTATCTTGGGACAGGTCTTCTTGGTCTCCTTGCCTGCCTGTTAGGCGACTTACTTCTTTTTCGAGGCGGAGATTTGGCTTTTTCATCTCTGAAAAAAAAAAATATATATATATATATAAATAAATAAAAGTATGATCATCAATGACAATATTAATATTAAGAAGAAACAAAATGCAGGTGAAATATCAATCAAGGAAATAGAAAAAATGGAAAAGGGAGGAGATAAATGCAACTGATATTGATACCATCACTGAGATTTTAGTGTTACAAGTCTTGTTCAATATAGATGTTTCAGTTGCAAACCGAGATATTTAAAATCTAATAATGATGCTGCAGATAAAAAAAAAGAAGATGCAAAGCAGATAACAGAAATATTTTCAATTTTCTCCAGTATAATCCAGGAGAAGAAGACAGAGTACTATGAGGGAAGGTTTAAGAGAGAATTTTAAGTTGGCGAAGTCAGGTCTGTCGACAATCAAAGTCTCCCCTTTTTTTCTAACCAAACAAGATGAATAATATTTCTTTACACAATTCATTAAGCTTGTTAGGTTTGTATTACACGTATAAAGTATTGTACACTCAGAGAATGCGTAATGTTTAACTGAAGTCATAGGTTGGAAGGTGCATATACTTGTACATACAGACATAAATTAATTAATCTCTTGCATTGGAGTGTTTAACACGTTAGTTGAGGTTATGATCCCTGGGAGTCTGATATTTGTCTCGAATACCAAATGGCCGAAATTTTTTCGAATTTTGTTTATCTTATGAAGTCTCTAAAATGGTAATATTTAAAAATATTTGAATGGGAGTTGGACATCGTAACCTACAAATATTTTATTTACGAAAACTCTAAGAATTAGGGTGTTTTCAATCTGGGAGATCAGAAAACTTTATCTATTTAATTAGGTACTAAAAACTCATGAATACCCATTTGCTTTTCACTTGAATCGTAAGATAATATGATTTCAAGATTGAAAAAAAAAAAAAAGGTACCATACAAAAATATTGGGGCATTTGGCCTATATAACCTCGTTATTTTAATTTTTTTAATAACTTAAACTTATGAAGGGTGAAAGTCATGCTAAATGCCCTAATAATTTTGTAGGGCACTTTTTTTTTTCCCCTTCAATTTTCTAATCATATTATCTAATGATTTAAGTGGAAAGCAAATGGGTATTCATGAGTACCTCATTAAACAGACTAAGTTTGCCGATTCCCAGATTGAAAACGCCCCAATTTTGAGAATTTTCATGAATATAATATTTGTAGATTACGATGAGATGAAGCCATTTACGAAGTTTCAGGGGGATGTTAATAATTTGATAAAAAGAGGTCTGTACCACGGACTAATTATTTAGTGTACAATGAATGAATGAAAATAATTTTATTATTCTGGGACTAGTGTCCCTATAAACTACATATTTAAACAAGAGAAGAGCCGATAATAATTGTAGCTTAATATTAATAAATAAGTAACAATTTTAGCTTTATATTAATCAGTAAGTCACAATTTAGCTAAATATTAATTAATAAATCACTACTTCAGCTTGATATTAATCAGTAAGTCACAATCATATTTCGATCTGCTAGAAATGAGAAAATAAACATGATTTAAGTAGAGAAAACTACTACTTAAATGAAAAAAAAACTCACTTATCTCTGTCATCCCTCCTCCTTTTCCTATTGTCTTGCTCATCTCTCCTCATATTCCCACCCATTCCCCTTCCTCCTCGATCACCAGAAGCATTGCTGAATCTACTTCCGCCTCCACCATACCTATTGCCAGCAGGGTTTCCACTATTCACCTCTAAAAAAAAAAATAAGTTAACCTTAAATTGCAGCAATAAGTTAAGTGAAGTTTTTAGTACTAATACTAAATTATTTTATAAAGATGATATAAAACAATAAAAGAAAAGGAAAATAGGAGGCAAAATCAAAAGGAAATCAATAAAAATAATGATTAAATTTATAACAAGGTTTTGTTTTTCAAACACTGAATTAGTAGCCAACAATATACCAATTCTTTAAGTTTAGTAAACATTAATCTTTTTTTAAATACATAAATTAGCAGTTAAACAGTTGGATTTGCAGGTAAGTTACTTTTTTTGATTTTTAATATACATACACATAAGTAAAACATAATATATTTTGAAGCAAAATATTTAATAATTATTGTTTTCAACAATACCGTCCAAAAATCCCACAGTTATTTTATGTCACATTTAAATTGTAATACGATAGTAATTTTTAAATAGTTTTATATAGGAAGTCACTGTGAATAATTTAGTAAGTTACACTATTGCTTGCCAAAAAAAGAATGTAAAATGAAGTGGAAAAAAGTTTAGTCATAAAAGTCCATTAATAAAATGTCGAGGAAGAGCCACAAGTTTACATTGCTTACTGATCGTATCTTATGGAAGTGGTATTTTCAACTAATTTAAAACTTACGTCCATCCCAATACATTCTTTCTTGATAATAATGCCAGGGTTGATAATGACCTGCTGATTAAATATCATATTAGATTTAAAAATAAATTTAATTATTATAGCACTAACTGCAACTAGCTCGTAAATTAGGTAGTAATAAAATAAAACCAATATTATTCATGAAGATTAACCTTTCAACGAAAAAATATAAATAAATATCTGGTTTGGACCCTAATATGACTTTCTATACCATTTTGAGTACGATACTTACTGTGTACAGAATAACATCATGTTTACTTTCAGGCTAAATTGTTTGATATTACTTAAAGAAACTAGATAAAATGAAGTTAAATCTAATGTCATAGATAGCTCAAACCATAATAAATGTGAATGATATAGTTTTAATGGATAAAACCCAGGAAGATTTACAAGTATTAGTGAATGCATAGACACAAGGCTTAAGCTGAGAGAAATGTCTATCAATGCCTCAAAAAATGAAACAAAGTGTGTGAAGAAATTCTACAAATAATTTTCAATGGTGAACTCCTGCATGCAGTTGATTCATAAGATGTTAAGGTACAATTATCAACAGAGATGATACAATGGAAGAGGAGAGAAATTAAGTACACAGAGTCAATAAAATGTTCTATCAAATACCCTCAATACCATATGAATACTTTTAATTGTTATTTTTCTTCACCATTTAATGTTTGCCATAAAAACAGTGATGAGAACAAATGGATTTACAAAAATAAATTTTAAAATATTGACACGCATTTTCTAACAAAATTACTTATTATAACAAATCACTAATTTAGAACAATCCCCACAATTAGAGTAGATAACATAATGCAAAGTAAATAACATCGTTTTTCAATGCGCCTATACTTGCAAATAATTCTGTGAAGGATTAGGAACTATCACTGATCGCTATTAAATAATGAACGGTCAGAAAGCTGCATGGCAATGGCAAGTTGCTGTGTGGTCTGAATCTGCAAATATAGACCACCTATAGAAAATATATACCATAAAGAAGCAATGCTAAGTATGTCATTAAAGTATTTTTTCCATATATCTTTCACCATTTTATCCAAAGTAATCCAAGTTCATTATTCAGAGTTTGTATTATCATAAGTTTTTAAACTTGTAACTGGTCTGTTATAAAAAAACGAAGCAAAGAGGCGAAGAGATAACCAAAGAGAAAATGGTTAATATAAAACTATCACTAAACCTTACAGTAATGCTACATGGTTTAGAAAGCTGGACCAAACTTGATAGGCCCATGAATAAAGTTACCACCATGTAAATAAAATATCTGAGAGATTAGAACTGGATCAGTGAAGAGAAAGCAACAAATCCATGCTTTGCATCAATATGGAGGTAAAGAAAGGTACGGTACATAGGGAATAATTTTGTTTTTCTAATACTTCGTTAAACAATGGTATAATACATATATCTTAAGTTAAAAGTCATCAACTGTAATTTTTTTGAGGATTAGATAGTTTCCTTTATTCTTGTTGCTGAACAAAATATATGACTTAGTAGTGACAAAATTATCAATAATTATTGATTATTTTGTTAAAATTTGGTGCACATTTGGTTCAAGCACAGGTTAACAATCTCACTCTCTTGAAAATTGAAGCCGGTAACGTTTTATCTCCAACCCGACTATACATACAGATATCATTATGAACTAGAAAAAAAATATAAGATACCACACAAAAATCCTCATTTCTCTATGTCAATAAATTTTGACTAATACTTATGTTTGGTATCTAGTAATTTTTTTTATTTCTTTGAAGTAGTAGCTATGTTTAAATTAACTTACTTGGTGGGGGTACAGCATTATAGTTGGACTGTGATCGCCCATAATTTTGACCGGAACGCTGATCTTGCATGGATAAAACTTGGATCCTAGTGGCATTCCATTTGAAAGGCATATTGGCATTGTAGACTGCTTCAACCAGGACCTGATCACCAACCTGAGGAGAAGACCCTTTCACACAGCAACTGAAATAAATATTTAATTACAAATGAGTAATTATGTAAATGTGAAAAAAAAATGTTTTTCATAATTGTGGGTTGATGGTTGACTGTCGTGAATAATGAAGAGAAGGATGGTTGGGGCGAGTAAAGATATTTTCCTATTAAAATACTAATAAACAAATATAATATTTTACAATACAATGTACATAGAACTTTCTTTGAATAACAGGTACATGAACCTTAATATAATTAGACTTTCGTTTAGAATAATACTTCTGATCCATAATACATCAAGATACAAAATTACAAATCAACACCATTTCTTTGATAAAGTGTAAAGCACTGCTGGGCAATGTAACAGAATGCCAAATAAAATTAGACTTAATTTTTTTAACATAATAAAACATTTCTTATTTAACTAATAACTCGAGTTAAGTGGGCATCAGGGAGATATGATGAGGACTAGAGGAGGATACTAAGAGTAAGATGTACTTCTGACTACGTTCCTGTGAGCCCGCCATGAAATAAATTCTAAAATGTATAGCCTTAAAGACAAGGAAAGGAAGAAAACAAATGGCCACAACAGGCAAAACTGAAACTGAAAAATTCAGGCTTAATGTATTTATCTTTTTATTACCTGATCTCCACAGATGAATTAAAGTTGAAAATTCAATTAAAAATGGAGGTATATATAAATACAAAGATTATCACCAAACTCTGGAGGATGATTCTAGACGAAATTTCCAACAAAAAAAAGTTCATTTGATGCATGGGCCGATTCGGAACGAAAAAGGAGTTAAGACCAATTTTGTGTCTTCCATGAGGTGGTCAAGTTTTTTATTGAATAACAAGAAATTACCAAAAAATTATTCAAGATAATTAAATTCTAAGCATACCATCGCAAAGTAGACTAAGTTTTCTCTCAGAAAAGAGTGATTAAATTTACTAAGGTCAATGATAAAAGGGACTTCTAGTCTATTTTAACATTGACCTTAGTAAATTCAATTACTATTTTCTTAAAAAAAAATTTTGCCTGCTTTACGATGGTGAAGATCACATGATTACGCTGTAAATAGGATTTCAAAAATAGGCAAGGATTGACAACATGTTTACAGCATTACTTCGATAGATCTTAATTTACGACTTCAGCTAACTTCGTGCTGGTTCTTTATGGTTAAAATAGGGGCTATAATTAGCTTTAATTACATTGTAACTTTAAACTCTGGATCACTATGCTCACTCAAAAGGCATAAAACAAACCTTCAGATTGATGAGGAAACTATTGAAAGAGTTAAAGTCTCCCCATACATAGGTAGCCTTGTCTCAGAGAAAAGAAGAACTAACGAAGATGTCAGAGAACGCATTCGAAAAGCCGATACTGTGTTTATCCAGCTCTGTCCCTTTAGGAGAAACTGGACTGAGTCCGTGAATAGGAAACTGAGGCTCTATACAACCAGTGTAAAGTTTGTACTTTTGTATGATACAGAAACTTGGAAGGGGTGTCACCACAAAGTTGAAGGTATTTACAAATTGCTGTCATCGCCTCATCCTCAACATCTAATAGTCCGAAAAAGTCTCATATTAAGAACTAGTTGAGCATCTAGTGATTGAGCAAGACAAAAGAAGGAAGCGGAACTGGATTGGCCATACACTCTGAAAATAGCCAGCAACACTGGAAATGTTGGCACTTGATTGGAACCTCCAAGGAGCACACGGAAAATGATGACCTCGCATCACCTGGAAGAGATTCATGCTGAATGAGGCAGAGCAGGCAGGAAAGACTTGGAGTGAAGTGAAGGCTTATAAGAATAAGAAGAAGACTTATAAGAATAAGAAAAAAAACATGTATTTCTTTTGTTATCTTATACCGTTCCTGGATTTTCAATACTTAATTCACTTTATAAGTATTTATATATTTTGTTGTTCTTGGCTCTGATGAAGGCCGACAACTAAAGCCAAAACAAAGTAATCACGTGTAGAATCCAAGACCCTTAATGGTTTGTTGCAGGTTTTTAACAAAAAATAAAAAATTAAATGATACCTTCAATGATAAATGGAGAGGTCATCGTGCTTCGGTAATAATCAATGAAAGCAATGCCTGACCAATTAAAAATTAGAAATTTATCATTAATTAAAAATATCAGATGATACAGTGAAGAATTTCATATTTTTCAGTTATTGGTGCCAGAGTACTAGAAATATTCGGGTAACATAGAAGTACTAGAAATTCATATTCAGGAACTATACTAAGTTAAGAATACGATACAAATTAAATAAACTTCAAATATTGAGCTGATTAAAAAAGTATTTCTAAATTATTGAAATGGTTGATTTAGATAAAAACAATTCAGTTAATCTTTTTAAGAGTATGGGAAAATAAATAACAAAACTTAATCTCACCTTAATCAGAAACTATTAAAGAAAGAGGTTCCCCTTATTATTTGTCCAATGTGAACTTAACTTTTAATAACTTATGGGTTTACTTATATTAACACATCAAGTAAATATGAAACATATGATCACTATAAATACAGTAAAATAACAAAATCAAACTAACCTATAAAGATGTCAAAACAATAAATAAAAACTTATGCCACGAAATAAATTATGCTCATGAGATTTTGTAAATACCAATAAAACTTTTAAATAATTTTTTTTTAAAAAGCCATTTAATAAAAACCTAGAAAAAAATCCAACAAAAGAGCACCTGAAACCTTTTGTGCTAACTCAGAAATTTGATGTTAATCATTATTAAATAAGTATTTTTTTTTGGTTTGGTTTTAATTATTTTTCAATCATAAAAACTACTTGAGGTAGGTACAAGTGGGGAAATTAGAAAAAATAAAGTCATATAAGATGGTAAATATATATAAATCATATTTGTCTAAATACAGAAAAAAAAAAAAATGAAGTGAAACAATATATCTGTATTACTCTGGGAAAAAGTCCAATTAGAAAAAATTAAATGAGCATCTCATAATTTCCAAAACACAATGCTGGTTGGATACTATCTCAACAGTGGATTTTGAAGACGGTAGAGAGAAAAATTAATTTTTACCACCACACCTTTAGAAAGAATGAAAATAATACTTAAAGGATAAATAAAAGGAAATTTTTAAAACAAAATACTAGGGACTATAATAAATAATCAGTTGAAAGATCATAATTATATTGGCCACCAGGTGCCAAAAATAATAATTATCAATAAACTTTGATTAAAATAAATAAAACTCTTATTCATAATCCTAACTTAATTAGAAAATCCTGGTGCGGTGTGTACATCATACAACTTTCTCTAACCCCCCTTTTTTTAAAAGCAGAAATAGGTATTTTCAGACAAATGGAAGTGAAAATAAAAATTATGGAAGGTATAAAATATAATTTAAAAGAATTACCATATGTTTTTCATAACCATCTAATGTACTTATGCTTTTTAGGTCATTAACCAATTCGTAAATGTTCATTTGTTCAAAACCGCTAATCTCCGAAACTTCTTCACTGATTGATTGCTTTGAAATATTAACATAATGTTTTTATCGCATTCAGGAATATTTTTATCTACATTGAATCACCCTCCTTTCGGAAAGGCGACCCAAAAACCTGTGTCACTATAAACTGTAGAGCCTAAACGACTGTAACAATGTTAATTAAACTTAGCTAAAGTCTTCTCCTCGAAGCCTTTTTAATTTATGTATATTACATCCTTCCCCGAAGAGTATGAAAAAAAAGTTATGGGTTCAAAACTATATTTGCGAATAACTCAAAAAGTACACAATTTTTGTTTTATTATACCCATCATTATTTGAAAGCTTCCTTGATTCCCTGCAAATCAAAACAAATTCATAAAAATCGGACGATTTGGTGCAGATATATAATGCTTTAAACGTTTAGTAATTTTTCTTGGGAGATTTAGAGACCGATTGCTTTTTATATAGACAATTATGTGATGTGAATTCTAGAGTTGGAAATCCAAACAATCTCTATATCTATATATAGAATGGAACAACAAAGAATGTCACATATCCACAAGTATTGTTAAATAAAATATATTAAAAACATCTGATTTCTTTTTTATTTAACCAGAATGAGCCACAGCAACGCGTGGCCGGGTAGAGCTAGAGCCTATTCTAACTTTTAGTTGAAGTTGGGGTTTTCGGTATATTACGATTGGAATTTCTTTAGTTGATTATCAAATTCTTTCATATTTTATATTTAACAATTTTTCACAGCAGGGTATGATATGAAATGGTTAATTATTTCAAAATAAAAAAAATTAAAGGTACTTTAGAGGAAGATATCTCTGCTAGAGAACAGAAATGAGAATAAAACCTACATCGTGTTAAAACTACTTAATTTTACACTGATATAATGAATTTAATCAAAATCGTTGAGCCATTGACAAGAAAATTGTAGAAATGTGTGGAACCGATGATATAAAGTGGCACTTCCGAGAAGCCAATTTCGATGAAAAAGTGGTTCTAACATCACTATCATATAAAAACATTTTCAGTTTCTTGCGGCTTTTTGTTTCTAAATTACACTGTTAACACACACACAAACATAAAGACCATATTGCGAGACTTGGTTTTTAGAAAAATCAGATCCAAAACTTTTTATGATCGCAATAATTTCCCTTACTGTATATTTCATATATAGGTAAGTGAAAGTAAAAATATGAAAATGATAAATAACAGTAAAGATAGAACTAGCATTAAAAGAAATGGGATAATAGTAATTTTTTGGAAGGATACATTAAAAGTAAAGAGTAAATGGTCATTCCTGGTCAAAATAACAAGCATATTTATAATAATTTATAACTAAAAATTTTAAATACAAAATTACCTTGATTGGAAAAAGACGTCTTCGTCAACAAAACCAAAGTTGTCCTGAACTTTAGTGACAGTACCTGTAAATACACGTTGTTGTTTATTGCCTGACTGTGAACCACCCCCTTGTTGCTGTCCTTGTTGAAATGCTGCGGTGTTCAATGCTCTGGTTGGGTATGACACAGCACCATACATCTGTAGAAATGCAAATTTAGTAAAAAATACAAATAGGAAAAAAAACAACCAAATGTTTAAAATGAAAATACAAACTATAATTTGACATAATGAAAAATGTTGAAAACATGCAAATTCATTCATGTTTTACATGTTTTCAACATTTTTTTATACTCTCATATATTTGTGCTTATGCTATTATATATACTTACAATATAAAACAATGCAGTACCATTTGTGTACTTTAGGATTTATATTCAAATAAAATTCTAAATTCATTGTTAATTTTTTCAAAATGTATTTGAGAAAAGTAATTATGTAACAGCAGCCAGCCAGCAAACATAAATTTACAAGTAAGATGTTGCTAGGTTGAGAAAAAACTTCACATGTAAAACTCAGCAAAGGGTTTTAAGAGACGAGGGAATAGATTATAAAAGATAGGGCAGAGAGTTACTAAATATTCCTGAAGTTCAGTATTTGTCATTCAAGAAAAATATATAAAATAAAAGAGTCATGTTGAATATTTAATAGTTGATCGCTGCATTATAAAGGAAGGAGATGGTCCGGGGTGGCAGTCATAAATAGTCTAAATAGTGGCAAAACTATTTTATTAAAAGCCAACGTTTTGACCCGACTTTGCAGGTCTTCTTCTGGGAGGTGTGTTGAGCTAGGAGTTTCATTTAAAACTGAAACTTCTAGCTGAACACACCTCCCTGAAGAAGACCTGCAAAGTCGGGTCGAAAAGTTGGATTTTAATGAAATAGTTTTGCCACTACTTAGCCTATTTATGACCGCCACCCCGGAACATCTCCATCCTTTATAAAATAAAAGACATTGAATAATAAATAATTCTTTTTTATTAGTTAAAATGAATTAGTAAAGAAAGAAAGAAGCTTATGTGACCAGAGAGGAGGGTATATTAAGTCAGACAAAGCATGTAAATTTTTGGGAACTTACAAAACCACCTTGAACAAAAAATCCCTTATACTGATAAGATTAAAATCAATTATAAGGCTACATTTAATAAAATTGGATACATTTTTAGGATGTAAAACAAATAATAATAACTTATAAGAGAACATAAATATGGAGGTATGTACAACAATGTTTTAAAAGCTATATATTTATCCTAACACAACCTGTATCACTACAACCCATAAAGAGTCTTGGGATCAGTACTTTGTAAGGAAGTGCTATTTCTTGGTCAATAGTTGTGCTAGCAGGTACTTTGACCAATATCATGCTTGACCGACAGATTTTAGAAGAAAACAAAATAATAACTTTTTGTGCTGTGGAACTCTTCTTCCAAACCAAGGATATATTACTATTAAGTGGGATTACATAAAATCAATATTCTCAATTTCAGTTTTAGAAAAAGTAATAAATCAGAAAAAAAAAATCTATACAACTAAGAAATCCACCCAAAAACCACCTTGTGATAAATCATATCAAGTCAAATAATTTAATAAGCTTTTAAGTATGTATGACAGCTAACCATAGCATGCAAAAGTAAAAAAAAAAAATGAATTTAGAATTTATTTCTCTGTAAGAACAGAGGGAATAGCTCAGAATAGTATATATTTTTGATTACATATATACCCTTAATCCTGAGGAACTAAATTCATCAATAGCCACAAGTGCATTTAATCTTAAAACAAAATGATTAATATTTTAGAATTTTCAAATTTAAGGAGCTAAAAATAAAATATAATTAAAAAAATAATTAGTATAAAAGCTACGATTCTCCTGTTTGCAGCAAGGTTTAAGTATGTAAAACCATCGGTAATTTAGACTTCTGTAAAAGTTCAACAAAACCAACTATAACAAAAAATTAAATTAATCTTAAAACATCGACCAGAAGTAAAATACATAGAGTATACTATGATCTACCTGCTGTCCTTGAAAGACCTGAGGATATTGAAGCATACCAGCAGTTTGGAGTGGGTTAGCAGCCATGAGGGACTGGGTAACAGCTGCAGTATTTTGAGCTACACCTAAATTGTGGTCTATAATTAAAATTTGCAGGCCATAGCTATTAATTATGAATATAGAAATTTTTTTTATTAAAATACCTGATCTGACCCAAGGTGGAGTTTTAGGAGAATTTCCATATTGTGACATTATTTCAAACCTGAAAATAACATTTATTAACTAAACAGAAAAATGCTTGAATGTCATTACAAACAAAAAACCACCAAACTTATAGGTAGAATCACAAAAAATTACTATTTCCATTTCTTCTTTCACTTAAAAAATAAAGCGAGGGAAAGTATTGCGCTCATGGAAAATTTTGAATCTGAGTTTCAACAGAAATACATGTTATGGGGTTAACTAAATCCAAAAAATCAAGGCATGTGTTTGTAAATGTCCAGCTCAAAAACAAAAACCTAAACAAAATTGAATTTAAATATTTAAGAAATTTTATGCCTGGGAGGACATTACAGCAACTTTTTCACCAAAATTTAATAACCAGAAGTGGCAGTTTACAACATCGGCTTTACACATTTTTACAATTAAAATGAATCTCTAACAATATTGATTAAACTTGTAACAATATAAATTCAATTATGTGAAATGAGATTAGATAAGAAGGGAGGTTTTGATGCTACCCTCTATTAAATAAGTACCATATGTTGTAATGTTTTCACATTATATATGTATAATTTTTTGGTCTATTTAATATATATCTTGTAAAATAAAAGTATTTTTGGTACTTGTTTAATAGCGGGTAGCGTCAAAACCTCCCTTGTTATTCAATCTTATTTCACATAACCTCCCTTATCTCCTCTAACCTAAATTATTCCCTTGTTTATTTTTTGTTCCTTGTGTAAGCTGTGAGTCTTATTTAATTATGGATGTTGTCACATTGTGGGAATTGCCGTCTTCAGAAGAAGAGGCTATTCTTATATAAATATTTTCAAGACGCCGGGATATTTGCAAATTTAAAATATTGTGATGAAGGTCATCAAATGAAGTTCGACAGAAGATTAAATGGAGATGCTTTCGTAGTTGTAAAAAACTGTTTCTATAAGGAAATCCTACCAAAATAAATTAAGTTAAAATAAAATTGTTTATATTGTTTGTTTTATATGTACATATGTTGTTTATAGTCTTTATAGTGTTTCTTTTATATGTACATATGCTGTTTAAGTGTTTTTTAATTATTTCATTTATTATATATGTATAATGTTTTAGTCTATTTAATATATATCTTGTAAAATAAAAGTATTTTTTTTATTATTACATTTGTTTTTGTTCACAATTTCAATAATATCAATACAATACAATAAATATGAATACAAAGATATTATCAGTGGTTTATAAGAGTTATCAGTGTTAAGGTTATAAACATTGGCTGATAGCAGTCGGATGCTACCCGCTATTATACAAGTACCGTATTTTTTTTATTATTACATTTGTTTTTGTTTACAATTTCAATAATATGAATACGAAGATATTATCAGTGTTAAGCATAAACATTGACAGATAACAGTCGGACCCGACCGGCAATTTAACAAGTACAGAAAAATAATATTAGGACTGATAGTTTGTGATTATTGATATCAAACCCAATTCCCAACCCAAAAGATTGAAGTATTATTCTGAATATTCAAGGAATTAAAGCCTGCTAAGAGTCCTGTAAAATATGTGACTGGGTAACTGATATTGAAATCTCAGGAGATAATTCAATTTTGGAAACAATACTTTATAACAAATAGCTAAGTACATAAAATATCTACCTTCTATAAAAAAATTTTTCACATCATAGGTAGATTTATGAAACAACCATGAAAAACAGCAAAATTTTTGCCTCTGAACCTGCTAGATCGCCAAAGCATTTTTCTTTATGCAGAAATGCATAGGCACCAAAACAATCAAAAAACAAAAAAATGGTCCTTTCATCTAAGTTAATAGAAATCAATTTTATGATTTGTTTTTCTTAGTTTGATTTGCTTCCAACTTAGTACAAGATAATCTAAATTTTTTTTTTTTAATTGTATTCGGCTCTATCCTAGAGGGCCTGGCAGTAATTCTTACATTTTATATTCTGTTATAATAATTTGTTTCCATTAAATATTTGAAGAGAATGATGACATCTTCCTCCCTGTCTCCCAAAATATCGTTTAATGTTGTGGAAAACTGTATTTGTGGTATTGGGGACACTCTGGTAATAAGTAACTGACTGAGGTATGTTGTCACACTTTTGGCAGGTGAATGCTTTGAGACCTCTAAGGTATCCGTGTGTGATTTCCATTGCGGCACAGTATTATTTCTTCCCTTCTGGAACTTGTGGCCCATGTGTTGCACTCGGTTTTTATTTCTGTTAATTTGGCTCATTGTATTTTCAATTGGCCTTCCCAATTTTCTAGTAGCTTTTTCCATGTTTCATGGATCAAATCTTCAACGTTGATGTAATTTATTGGTGTTATGCCAAATACTTCTCCCTTCCTCGCCAAATGAGCAGCTTGGTCTACTTTTTCATTGCCCATTATGACACTATGGGATGGAATCCAGACAAAGAACACACTCACTGATCTTTTTCTCATCTACCACCATACGTTTAATGATTCTCTAATGAGAGAGTTGCTTGGCCATGGGTTACCAATGGACGCCAAGACGCTTTTGGAGTCTGTAGCTATGATCCAGTTTTTATCTTCGGATTCTGATATCCAATAAAGAGCCTTCATTATCGCAATCACAATTATAATTTATTTATTTTAATGGTTATACTGTTCTTTGACATCAAAATATATGGTGAGAAACATTAATCAACACCGAATGATCATGTTTATTTGTCATAGATGAAATATAGGTTAATATAAATAGTGTTAGACACAAACTGTATTAGTTCCTCCACCGAGTTTGTGTTCATGAGCGATTATTCTAAATCCATATCACTTTTAAACAAAAATTGATAGTCAAGAACTCATATTTACACTAGTAACTTATGAGGCATACGAATATTGATCAATCCTATAATTTTATTGAAAATAAGATAGATTATGGATCATTTATAAATTTCTTATCACAACTGATCTTATCCTACTGATTTTCATATTAAAGCAGATATTCTTTATCTGCTTTAATATGAAAATCATAAAGGGGAAATCATAATATAAAATCCCCTTATAAGGGGAGTCGAGAGAGGGTTTAACCAAGGGAAAGGGTCTCTTAGCATGTCTAATTACTTAAGACAAAAATGGGCAGAAACTAAACCAAATATTTCACAACATTAAAAGTAAAAATCAGATATTAGGGCCTTTAGGGAGGGTTCAGTGACACTTTGAAAACTCAATCTATAGTATCATCATAAGCCACCCGTCATGGTGGAGTGAAACTAGTGAGGTATTTTCTTCAACTATATCAACGCCAGTCTTGAGAAGCATATCTTACAAATAACACAGAAGTAAAAGCTGATTTAAAATTGTCAAGCCACTCATCCATTAACTATTATATACTACATTGTTATTAATAGAAATGTCAGCTCATAAAACAAACATATTAAGACAAAAATCAAAGACCATAATGCACCAAGACTCACATTATAGAACCAAAATGAACAGGCTAATAAACAGTAATTATTGGCACAGTAGTGGAATGAGAACATAATTCAAAAAATGCAAAATTCTAAAATACCTTACGAGTTATTTAAGATTCCTGGATCATGCTTAGAACTAAACTTTGTCAGATATGAAAATTGTTGGACTAACAATCACAGAGTGCATTAAATTTGCAGTGTCACACTAGGGGTCTAAGACTAATTAAAAACAAAATTAAAATGAAATAATTTCGACTAAAATAAATGAGAAAAAGTGGGTTAAACATGGGTAAAGAGGTTTAGATAACATCTTGGAATACAATTTTAAAATCAAATCAGAGTACAATAATATATAACTCCAATCATTAAAACGACAAAATATAGTAAACTTTTATAAAATGTAAAAATTAATCACTTACTTTAATATAAACCACTAAAAAAATAACGAAACCGGACAGAACGAAACCAATGGCGTCCCTAGAACCTCATCAGTCGTGCATTCCTCAACAAAATTGTTGATAGTATTCATATATCTCTAAATATTTCCTTTATTTAATTTTTTAAAAGTTATTTTAAAATATTTATTATAGCTAGTGTGTCTCAAATTATTATAGCTAATATTGTATTTTTTTTTGTTATTTTACGGTTGATATCTATACCCTGGGCCCACACTTCAGGCAAATCGAGGCAAATTCCCGCATTTTGCCTCAGTTTTATGGGAATTTGCCCGAGTTTGCTAGCGCCACTGTCGTAGAGAACAAAGGAAAGGGCGAGAGTGGGAGAAGGTGGTGGGGATATTTTGACCAGCTGGTGGAAGGTAATGGGCTGTTTACCCCGGTTTGTTGCATATCCATCCGAAATGGAAAACTTAGGCAAAATCCAAGCAAGTTTTGCATTATGGCCGTTGCGCTACGCTAGTGATGCATTGAATAGCCACTGTGATTGGCTGACACAGAAACTTCCATTTTCCGCTTTTTTTTTGCAATATCCGGAATAAAACAAAATTAGTGCGCACAACATACAACTTTCACTTACCTTTCTACTTTGAATAGAAATTATTTTCTGGAAATGTTGAGCAATTATAAAAAATTTTAAGTGCACTTTTAACGGATCTATAGCTTAAAGGTCTACAGCTAACTAATCATTATCATCCCTAAAATAACAGAAACCCTATTAATTATATCAACGGTAGATAATAAAAACCTCCCTACCCCATCTTTTTTCGTAAACCATATAACTCCGGTCTCTGAGCAATATACATATGTCTAGAGAGATTTTCAAGCATATCTCTATATTCAACCTATAAATTATTATGGATTCTACGCCTATTAGTTATTAAACTGTTACTTTCCATTGTAAAGTTTACTACAAAGAAATTACGAGATTTTCATAGCCTGTCATAGATAGCTCAAAAGTTGTTACACTAATTTAACAAAGGGAAAATTCATCAAATTACTCACTAATTTAATTTTTTTAAATGTTATACGACGATCAACGGACGTTGATACCTAATTATTTAAATATAATATCAGATTTAGAATTATTAAACTACAGTAAATGTATTTAAGGTTATAAACATAGGCTTTATACATCCATTTAATATTTTTATATTTCACTTCTTTCACATTAGTACTATGAAATAGTTTTTTAACAATAACATTGCGTTGATTAGGTGAATTTTAAATACTTTTTCAAACTTAAAAACAATTTAAATTTAGTTAGTAAATTTCATTTATTTAATTTCCTTGAAAAAATGTGATTTCCGTAAAATAATATTAGTTTACACAAATTATTATTTATAATAATTTCTCTCCATTACTTTCTATATTTCATATTGTTTTTTTCTAAAATTATCCGCTTTCCAACGATATAACTTCTGACAAGTATTTCCGGAAATTCATTTTCATCCTCAATACACATTTTCCCTTTTTTCTTCATTTTTCAATTATCAAATTCTTTCAAAAGTTATATTTAGCATTTTTTTGGTAATTATTAATAATAAGAGATGGTTAATTATTTACGATTAATCAAATTAAATGTACTTTAGAGGAAGATATGTTGAACATTTCGGCATTTAAGCTATGTAAAGTGACATTAATGGGGATAAGACCTCAATGATATTAAAGACCACTTAATTATACAACGATACACGAGTTTAATCAAAATCTTTTCAAAATCAAAATTTTCTGTGCAACTAACTTTCTGTCTTTCAGTAATAACAAACAAATCATTATAAACTACAAAAATTAAATGAAGATATTATTTACCATTAAATGAATTATGGAAGTTTGTTAGCAGAAGGATTCATATAAATAAAATCAAATAAGATATGAAATATAACATATTATATCTTTTAACATTTTTACATAATATATTTTAAATATCAAAACTTTTAATCCATTACTTATTATTGCCATTTTTCATTACTTATATATATTTATTTGATTTATTATATTTCCATATATTTGCCATTTTGTACTTATCATCTTTTTGTGTGTAAGGCATATATATCATAACCTTTCGTACTTATTCATTACCTGTTATTATCATAAACTAAGCTTTTGTTAATTCATCTAATTACATTTTATTATTTAGATCTTATTATTCCATTTCATGTTTCTTCTTCATCTAATACTACTCTTCATTATTTATTTCCGTTTTATAGTTCAATTGAAATACTCTATAAAACCAATTATGTCAAGTTCCACTTTTGGTAAAATTAATTCAGCCAACAATTTGCAATTACATCGCTGCCATACTCCTATCAACCTTAATAAATAAGTATAATCACTTAACTTTTCAATTTTTAGTTTGATTCTGCATTTACACAAAAAAACCATTACGCAAAATTTTTTTTTTATACAGGGAAGTGCTTACAGAACCCTACAACATGTTTTTCAATTGAAAACTCAGAGTTGAAATTTTTAATGATCCCAATACTTCGCATTACATTAAAATAAAATAATATCCATTTTCAAATATTATTTACAGTCAATATAAAAAAAAAAGTTCAAAATTTATTTATTTTTTAACCTATGCTTGTTCTACATTTAGAGAGTTGAAAACAAGTATTCATTATTTTTTTTAAATGATTAGTTTCTTTTTCAGTGTCCATATTTGTGTCAGGCTGTCTACTAATTTTACATTTCACAGACATTAGTGTTAAGCTATATCTCTTTTTTTTTCTATATCTTCAGTTCAAATAAAACCGAACAACTCACAAAATTACTAACCTAGACTCTAATAAAGTTGCATTAATAACATTTTAAGCACATATTGAAACACCATAATACAATACTATATTTGTAATTAAATGACTGTATCATGGTTAGAGACTAACATCATACAGTGCCAATTTTGATGCCTACTTCAATAAATAATCAACCATCCTAAGCCTAAAAAAGTTATATTTGTATAAAACATTGTCTGATTAAAATAACAATTAAGTCTAAGTGTGGAAATTTTAACCACATAGTGAGACTGCCTTTGTTTTGTTATTCGCATTTTTAATTTTAGAAATTTGACATATACCTATCATTTATTGGTTATTTATACACAAGTTGTAATATATATGTTTGAAGGGAAATGATGGAAGATGTTATTTATAATACATACAACCCATATATTTGCAAAATATAATAAATCATATACATAAACTAAATTTAATAATTATAATGTTGCTAGAAAATTAATCTTTATATCTTAACTTTGTTATTATTATACAAAATAGAAATTCTATTAATGAACAAATAAATATTTTTAGGTTCAAATATACAATACAAAATATAAATGAATTAATACAACATACAAATTAATGAATACAAGATATGTTTTTGTTTATACATCATGAATAAAGGAATTTAACATTACAAATAAAGCATTTTTAAATGCATCAGAAAAATCTGAATAACTAATGAGTATTCTAATAATTTACTGGATTATTCTCCATCTTCTTCAAACACCTTTAAAAAGGCTTTATTAATAATATGTCTTTTTGGAGGTACAACCTTACTAGTATTTACAGAAAAAGTGTCTGTTTTATATTTTTTAAATGGCCCAGCATGTTGCTGGAAAATCACTCTTTATGGTGCATTCGCAATACCACGGGCACAGGCTGCCATTTTGTTTAAACTAGTGCTGGTTTCAAAATTACAAATATTTTTATTCCACAAAGTCCGCACACATCTTCCCCAAGCCTTGTTCCATTTCACATATGCACAAACTTTGTTCTGGTTGAAGTAATTGGTCCAACCCTTCTCCTAACATGGACCCACAATTCTGTGCAATTTTTTTGGGTTTATTTGTATTTCCGCACTGTTTTTCTATTATTTGGACGAGTTTATTGAACGGGGCCATAATTTTCTCTTCGCCTTTGTTTGATTTATTTTTTGTCTTAGGCTGCAATACATACCGTTGTTCAATAAAGATGAATCATCGAGTACTTCAGCCTGTCCTTCATGTTCACACTCAACAGTAGGGGAACGCTGAAAAAAAAAAAAAATTACCAATCTTAGGCCTGGTATCATCCAACTAAAAAATCAGATTTTTTAATTTCGTTATAATTTTTTCCCTTCTATTTTTTGCGATGCTTATAACACATTTAGTTGAGATTTTCATTTTTAGAGGAGGGTCTATGTCTGGCACACTTTAAGACTCAATTTTACAGAGAACAAATAAAAGCTATGTAACATTTACATTAATAATGAAAGTCGAGGAAAAAACAAAACTAATCCTTAATTGAAATAGGAAACAATGGAATCAAATTCATAACAGAAGAAAATAAATAATTTGTTACGGGTAAACAGATAATGTGGAGGGTTAAGGAAACAAGACAGAATGGCTAAGGCATCATAGGGCATTTTCTCTTTATAGTCATTACCCTATGTACATTGTTTTGCTATATGAAAAAGTATAAAAAAAATAACTTAATCATAGACTAGGAGGGATATCGAAAACTAACAATGAACTTCCAATTAACTAAATATAAATAACCAGTTAAATGCTAAATAATTAACACCCCTTGTCCATTGTTTCCTTTGAGATGATGTACTTAAGTTGGACGTTAGAAAAGAAAATAGAACTAAATTAACTTACTACAGACTTAATTGATTGTTTGAATTGAAAAATAATAAAGTAACACTTGCAAATTTAGTAAAAGAGGAATTAACCATTCACTAAATTGTAAAAAATGTCTATACAGTAAATCAAAGAACCTCATAAATAAATGAAGAAAAAAATTTTTAAATGCATTCCTTGAATCAAATAATTCAAAAAATATTGGCAGCTCATTGCAAAGTAATTAAGTGAAAATTCATTATTTCTTAAGTAATCAAGAACTTTGAATATCTTTTTCTTTATAAAATCAGAAAATTGTGTGCTTCTTGTAAGTATAATTGATGTATAAAAGGGTTTGTTTCATTTCCATGCCCATACAGTGTTTTTGTATAGGTAAATAAAGTCAAAATTCAAAAAAAAAAATCTTGAAAGTTAACCTATATCAAATATGCACATAGTGCATGAATTGAATGCAGTAAACGGAGGATATATCAAGAATTTTCACTGGTTAGAGAATTAATAATTGACTATGTTTAACGGAAGGAAATTGACAATCCTAGCAATTGTGTGTGAAAAATTACATAAAATCGCGTTAATTAGCTTTACAGAAATATATTTTGAAAAACAAGGTAAAATGTATTTATAGAGAAATGTCATAGCAAAGAAATAAACAACTGATATTAATAAGGAAAACTAAGATCAATTTTATGCTTACCTTGTATGATTCTCATGAATTTTCGACATCTGTCATCTTCTTTGTTTTCTCCACTTATTTTCTTCTACTTGCTTTTATTTTATAGAAGACATAACCAAAAGTAGCAATCAACTCCACGGTAATTCTAGAAGGTCCATGTTGTTTGCTTGGACTGACTCCGTCCTACTGAGCACATTTTCCATGGTTAACGAGCTTCGATTAGTTCCTTATTTTGCCGCAAGTTTGCCAGAAATTTTGCCAAACCGAGTTTGCCTGTAGTGTGGGCCCAGCATTGATTTCATATCACATACAAATATATTAAAATTATTTTTGAACATTTTTAATCTAGTAAGATAATGTTAAATAATAAATTTCTGAATTGGATTAAGAACACACTGCTATTGACAGATAGGTTTTGGCGGAGGATTTAAGTTGTGTATAACCTTCAATTTTCCTATTTCTTGGTTGTATTATATTTAAATATAGTTGTTTATGGTCAGTTCATAATTTGATTTTGTGGTTTTATAAGAAAGACCAAAATGAGTAATCTTGACGATTTTTATAAAAATGAGTTGGAATTTGACTTTTATGGCTTTACTGCCTTGGAAGTGATTGATGAAGGTTATGTTGTTCAAAATATTACCTTTTTATATTTAAAAAGCTAAGAAAAGTTAATCCAATATTTAATAATTATAAGTTTTTATTAACTGTTTAATGCATAGTTTTCAATATTAAATGTAGGAGTGTAGTTGAAGCCTCTTAAATTTGCACTTTGTTGGAATTATGGACTGTCATTTAAATTACAAGATTTTCTATAAAATAAGATAAACAGTATGGTATTACCACTTCAGTTGGTGATTCTCCATGACTTGTTTTATAGGCCCTGTATTTAATTCCTCTCGATCCTCCAGCTGTCTATTCATATTTTCGCTAGAACTCTCCTGAGGTATCTCATTCCTATGGCCGTAACTTTACTAGCATGTTTATCCAGGACCGTCCAACTCTCTGCACCCTACAAAAGGACAGGCAAAGGTACTGTTATAAACAAAGCTATTTTGGTTTTCTTCTTTACCTCCTATTTCCTTAATATTGTAGTGCAGATAGAGTAAAACACACAATTGGCCTTCTTGACTCAATTTAAAACCTGGTAGTTATCTAACATTTCTAATGGCTCATTATTACTTTTTATGAGAACTTGGTCTTCCACATCTTACTTTTTATAGGGTTTATTTCCATTCCCTTCCTCTGGAGTTCTTCTGACCATTCATTGACAGCCATCTGAAGCCTTTCTTGGGTGTCGACAATCAGGACCACGTCATCTGAATATAGGAGTACTTCTGCCTCCACAGGAATTAAATTCCAGTACCCCACTGTTGCTCTGGGTGTCCTTCACTTACAAACCTTCCGTACTTCATTCATGCATATAATAAATAGTAGTGGGCTTAGGCTATCACCTTGCTTGACGCCTTTTTAATACCTAATAGCTCCGATTCAAATCCATTAAACCTACTATTCCCTTGGGATCCTGGTATACTGATTTGATAGGGCTGATGAGATTGGATGTCACCCGTTTTTCCTGTAGAGCATTCCAAATCTCTTGGTGAGGAATCAAATCAAATGCAGCCTTCAAGTCCAGGAATGCCAAAAATAGCCTTCTTCCTCTATCCCATGCTTTCTCAACAACCATTCTTAAGGAGAAAATATGATCCTCGGTTTGCCTCCCTGGTCTAAAGCCAGCCTGCTCCTCTTCCAGATCATGCTCCACCAATCTCCTGAGCCTCTGTTCCAATATTCTTGTATATAATTTATATGCTACAGAGGATAGACATATTAGTCTATAATTCTCGCATTTTGTCTGGTTGCCTTTCTTGAAAATCGGAATTATAATATTATCTTACACTTGGTTCTCTTGTAGAGTAATGTACTTGTACAATTTCAGAGACATTATTTTGGTTACTTATAATAATTTGAATCATGAATGAAACATGAAAAAAATTCCTCTGCATAATTATTGGGGTGATTAGATTCTGAATTTTAAAGTGGAGGAGAAAAAGATAGGATAATGAAGGAACTCTAGTGATTAGTAGTTCAAATAGTTTAGATGAACTTATGACTGAGAGCTGTACTTCTGAGAGCGTGAATCTATGTAGCGGTTCATACAACTGTTGTTGGCAAAAAAACGTATGAGAGTCCCAAATACAGATGGAGAGAAGAAATAACAGGAGCTACCTGCAATGAAACTATCCAGTAAATCTAGTTAAGGGAACATGTTTGGGGCCATTAGTTTGCAACTAATTTTATTTTAATGTAGTACTTTTTAAAAAAATATTAATGCACCTTTAATAGTAACATCTTGACAATAAAGAATAATTTATATTATTTTTAGTTAAAGGTTGTATTGAGGATTTGGTCGACGCTGCTGTCGAAGATAGCAAAAAGAAGCTGTGCAATAAGTTTGGTTCTAGTAATGATAAGGAGTTTGCAGAAATTAAAAAATATTATTTGGAAGCTGTTGAAAACCATAAAATAGAGATGGAGGCAAGTCTAAGTAGTTAAGTTAATGCCATGAATTTGAATTTGTTTTTTATTTACTCAGAAAATGTATGTTTAGTATTTAACGAATTATGATATTTAATGATTTTATTTATGTTACCATCATTATCCATATCACTATTTTGGTGACTGCTTGTATTAGCCTTCTCCACTTGTGCTTGATACATAATAAACATGAAAAACTGCTACAACATTAAAAATCAGGTGCACGCAACACAACTTTTACTTACAGCCCTACTTTGAAGAGAAATTATTTTCTGGCAATGTTGGGCTATTATAAAATTTTTGCAGTGCATTTTACACCGAGCTAAAGCTTAAAGCTAACAAATCATCAATACCATTAAAATAACAAAAATCCTATTTATTATATCAACTGTTGATTGTATGACTATTAGTTATTAAACTGTTATTTTCTATTACAAAGTTTACTAAAATGAAATTATGAGATTTGCATTGCATGCCATATATAGGTCAAAAGTTGTCACACTAATTGTCGGTTGATACTGTTGGGATATCATAAAGGGAAAATTCATCAAATTATTCATTAATTTAATTTTCTAAAAGTTCACATGCTGATTTTTCGGAATAAATGGACTATAGATACATAATTAGGGGGCTGAGTGGCCAAATGGACTATTGCGTGTGCACAGCATCGCGAGGTCCCCAGGCAAGTAGATAACTTAAGTTATTTGATTAAAAAAAGTACAAGTTCGCTTCCCGGTGCCGATGGGGATTTTAAATTCCCCGCCCTCACCCTCCGGCCTGAGAAAATTCTGTATAGCCTCTGTATTCTGTATAGAAAATTCTCACCTAAAAGGTGAGGTGGGGAAGAAATAGAAAAAAAAAAGCGATAGATAACTAATTATTTAAATATATCAGATCTACAGTTATTTAATTACAGTATATGTATTTTTTTTTAAATGTTTATTATGATATTTACATCTGTATTAGTATAAATACATCAAGTAAATGTGTACAGAGGAATATAATCACATGAAAAATCTTGTTGAGAAACTACCCATTGGTAGTAACTCTAATAATATGTCTACATGAGGAGATCACGAGGCCATCTTCTTTCCAGATGCCTTGGAGGGTTGTCAGGAATCGAAGAGGAAGCAATGTTAGAAACAAGAGGGTTCGGATGGTTATGAAGTTTATTATGGAAAGATAAGCATCTGAATTGGACCAAATCGGAAACATATGGAACATTAAGGTCTATATGGATTATTTTATTTGTGACAAAGTAAGGAGCATTGAGGATTTTACAAAGGATTTTGCATTGGATACGAGAGGAATTTGATGGTTTCGTGGAGCCCCATAGCTCAACTCCATAAGTCCAAATTGGTCTAATTATAGTCATGTATATGAGTCATTTGTAATTAATTGTAAGTTTAGAGCATTTGTCCAGTAAGTGTTGGAGTAAGTGGAAACGTCGAGCAGTTTCTTGTTATTTTGGACTTGTATAAGGATTCCAAGAGGGACGTTTGTCCAGGTGGAGTCCTAGGTATCGGATTTGTTTTACAGGAATAAGTAGGGTCTTATTAAAGGATACTGTAGGACAGGATTTATTGGAATTTATTTTAATCCTCCAGTTTTGACACCATTCTTTAAGATTTATGATGTGTGATTGAAGAGTTTGGGATGCAATTGATGGATCATTATTAATTGACAGGATAATGTGTCATCAGCATACGTAGTGATGACAGTTTTAGGATGGGTTGTGATATCAGCTGTATAAACTGTGTAAAGGATTGCTACATGTCGATTATGTTTTTTGAGAATTTTTATACGGGATGCCACTGGATAATTATCCAGAATTAATTAATAAAATATTAGTTAAACAAATTATGTCATTTGACATATTGGTCCATGATTAATTTATTGGATTACTTCTCACAAAGGCTTGTTGTGTGTTTATCTGTTCTCTAATTACTAAACATTACCTGTGATTTTAATGATATCAATAGGTGGTATGATTAAAATAACTTTTATGTACAAATTATGATTATTTACAAATTATATAATAAAGACTGTTATATACATTATATTTACAAAAATTAATGAACTAAACAATTGGTTGTGAAGACATGATTCAGATGGATGGAATTTAAAATTACATTGCCATTAAATATTTATACATCTTTAAAAAGGAATTGTTGGGAATTACTTATCTAATATGTTATTTGAAGTGGGAAGTTGAGATCATCTTTGTTCAGGTAGATCTTCAACAGTCCTCCAGCCAGATAAAAACATCAGGGACCTCCTCAGGGCCGGGCAGCTACATCAGACCTCTCTTCCAGGCCAGCCATAAGCCATAAGACTTCTTCTTTATCAGCCTCTCCTCATCCAGCTGTCCTCGCTTCCTTCCCAGCTTGAAGTCTCCTCAACTGAGTCCCAAAAACAAAGTGTCTTAGTCCAAGTCCTATATTTTCCACCTTTCTTCATCCCCTCTCTTTTGGTAGTCTTTTCTGATTGGCTGAATATTCCTAGCCTAAGGTATGACCACGCCCTCTCCCCCAGGCCAAGGTATATTCCACTAACCAGGTATATTTCAAGTATTTCTGGTGGAAGGTGTTAATGGTAATTTGGATCCTGTTTAAACACTCAGCCGTGAGACTGTTGTCGGTCTCTTGGGGTTCTTAAGGATTTCTATTACCACTTACAAAAGGTTGGGTCGGGGGTCTCAGGTACCCGCCCAGATGTTAGGAATTATTTTTAAATATTATTAGTTACCATTAGGCAATGTTCAATACATAGCAGGATAGAACCAAGGATACTACCTTGAGGAACACCGGCAGATTGAGAAAAGAGGGATGAAGAGATATTATTGTGATTTTCTTTGAAGTGTCTATCAGTAAGGTAGGAACTTATGATAAGAAAATATGTAGGTGGAAGGAATTTACAGAGTTTGTAAAGCAATCCCGGGGGCCAGACTCGATCAAACGCCTGTTCAACGTCGAGAAAGACTCCAGTGTAATACATTCCGTGGTCCAATGCAGAGGAGACAACGTCCATCACATGATAACATTGCTGGATAGTGGAATGGGATGTGCGGAATCCAAATTGGTGATCAGGGATTATGTGGTTAGAATCTAGGATGGGATACAGCCGTTTTAAGATGAACTTTTTCAGGATTTTGCCCATGATGGGTAAAAGAGAGATATGACTGTAAGAGAATGGGTATTCTGGTGGCTTTTTGGGTTTATGTATCATTTTAACTACACATAGTTTCCAAGGGTCAGGAAAATATGTGGAACGAAGTACGTCATTATATATGTAAGTAAGGATTAGAATAGCTTTTCGAGGAAATAGTTCAAGGATATGGGATGTGATTAGGTCATGGCCAGGGGCTTTGCGGGAGATTAATCTGTGAATAATATTGGATATTTCTGAATGATGAAATGCTTTAGTAGAAGGAGTCATTTGGAGTGGAATATCCAGTTCTGCTTCAATACATTCAAGCTGATTTAGATTAAGGATATCAGGATGTGGATTAAAAGTTTTGAAGAGGTGATGAGCAAAAATTTGGGATTTTTCTTGTCAGATTTGGACAAATTTTGAGCTTCAGTAAGAAGTGGATGATTAAAGCCTTTAAATTTAAGGAGCCTTTTAGTTGTCCACAGTGATTTGTCGGTATGTGTAAGTTTTTCAGTAAGATTTAGTAAATTTTGAATTTTCTAATTTTTGATTTTAGTTTGTTAGTCAGTTGGGTGTAATGAGTTTTATCTGTTGGATATCTAGTTCTATGCCACTTCGATCTGGCTCTGCGTTTTTCCTTTAATAAGATATGAATATGCTGTGGCAAACTATTCTTTTGTAAATTGTTAATCTTACTGTTAAATGTGTTACTATTTATACTGTCCGTTATTGATGTAAGTTTTTCTATTCAACATTAATATCTTCCCTTGCCTTTAGCGGAATTTTTAAGTCTAGTTTGTTTTCCAAATCATCACGAAATTTGTCCCAGTTTACTCATCCTGTGATCAATTTAGGAGTTGATGGTTTCGGAGCATAGCTTGAATGTAGTGAAAGCAGTATTAGACTATGATTTGATTATGGTTTGTGAGAAGAAAATCTGGGAGGTGATAAATATATTCAGGATATCGGGACATTTTTTGAGTGATGTTGGCCAATAAGTAGGACACATGGGCGAGAAGATTGAATAACTGTTGGAAGATAAGACACATGAAAAGATGTTACCGCGGGAGTTGGATGTTCGACTCCCCATAGACCTCCCAAACCCCATAGTTGGTGTTTTGCATTGTAGTCTCCTCCAGCAATAAAGCGTGATCCGAGGGATTGGAATAAGGATTCAAGGAGGTATAGGAGATGGAATTATCAGGAGGACAGTATACAGCTGAGAATGTGAGATGGAAAGGGTGAGTTGAAAGGACTACAGAAGTTGATTGAATGGTATCAGTTGGAGTGGAAGGAATAAGGGAGTGGGATAAAGGTTCATGGATAAGGATGCAGAAACCAGCTGGGGAAGTGTTATCTGGGTGGTCAGGTCTATAAGTGATGTAGTCATGTATGTAGAAATGTGTCTGTTGAGTGAAGTGAGTTTCCGTCAGAAGGGCAATATCAATGTGATTGTCATGGAAATAAGTCTAGTTCGTCTCGTTGGTTAAGTAGTCCATTAGCGTTCCATAAAAGGATTGATAGGGGCTTTATATTCATTGAGGGAAGTTGAACGGGATTTTTGGAAAGGAGTCTAGTGAGGAGGGTAATGAGCAGTTTGATAGTCTCTTGAAGATCTAGCAGGAATATTGAAAGGACAGAATTGATGTCGGAAGGTTTTTGGCTGTGAAGTGGATTTGAGTCAGGAGGATGTGATGGGTAATTTGTGAGACTAGGATTGTTGGAAGGGGGATGTGCCAGACATGGAATGCGAGGAGTTGGTTCTAAATTCTGTTGGGCTTGTGATGGGAGGTTTATATAGGAATTAGGAATGGATGGAACTGGGTGTGGATGCTCTGATGGGAGTTTGACCCTTAAGGGTAGATGATGAAGAGGGATTTGCTGACAAGGAGGTAAATGTATTTAAGTTTATAATTATATCCATGAAATATTTTTATATTTCAGACAAGTACAGAACTAGTATACAAGAAATAAACTATAAATAAATAACAAGAAATAGTATTTTAAACAATGTCATTGCCTTGATTCATTGGATTTTAAATACTTTTTTCAAGAAAATTTCATTTAATTTCCTTGGAAACATGTGATTTACGTTAAATAATGTTAGTTTTCATAAATTATTATTTATATTTTTTTCATCCCTCTCAATTACCTTCTGCAACTTAATTTATTGGATATTATTTTTTCTAAAATTCTCCACTTTTCAAAGATATATTATGCGTATACCATACCTTCTGACTATTATTTCTGGAGATTTATTTTCGACCTGGATAAGCATTTTTCTTATGTTCTCCTTTATTCAATTATCAAACTCTTTCAAAAGTTATATTTAGCCTTTTTTCATAACTCCTAGCAATGAGAAATAGTTAATTATTTAAAATAAACAAAATTAAGGTAGTTCAAAGAGAGACATTTTGAACATTGGGTATTTAAGCCCTATTAAGCGACATCAATTGGAATAAGACCTAAATGATATTATACCACTCAATTATACACTGAATTTAATCAAAATTGTTATAGCCGTTTTTGATAAAATTGAAAAAAAAATGTGTTTCACCTTTGTATAAAATGGCACTTCCGCTGAGCCGATTTTAAGGGAAAAGTTGCTGTCACATCTAAGGCATATACTTGTCTTAAATCTTACTAATAGTGAGATGTTATGCAGACATGCAACTACAAGCACTCCCTTTGCCTAGCACGGCAAAGCACGTTAGGGTTTTTAATAAATAAAGAATAAAAAATAAGTAGAATAAGAAAAAAACTTAATAAAAATAAGTCAGTCCGAGAGAGATTGACGAGGAGCATTGAAAATTTAAGGCCTAGCATTGTTGATGTTGGCATGAATTTCAATTCTAAATAGAACTCTTCAGAGTTCTACACTATTTGAAATTATGATAATTGTTTTCATGAATTAATTAATATTTATTTTAAATAGAAATTTATTTATAATTATCTTTTTAATTTTAATGAGATAATGTCATGATGTTTTCATTAAATAATTTATTTTTCAGGAATTGATAAAAGATTCTGTTAAATTGCCATATTCAGCAGAATCATTGAGTAATGAATCGCAATCAGATAAATCCAATTTAGAACAAGAAATAAAAGATTTACAGTTACGGTCTGCTGCAGTAAGTCTAGAAATTTACATTAAATACATTTTACTTAATATGAATTAATTTAATGCATACATATAACGCAATTTCATCTTAATCAAGTTTTTTCTAATTTCATTAATTGATTTTTTTTTTTTAGTTAGACATTTATATGAAGGAATTGATGAAGGCAGAGGCTGAGATTCAGGTTTTCGCTGACACAGATTTATCAGAATTGCATAATAATTTTAAAGAAATAGAAATTAATATATCTCAGCTATCAGATAACTTTCATCTGGCTGAAGAGCTCTTCTCTGAAGCCATTCAACAAAGTCATCTAGAGCAATCCTTTAATAATTTGTCTATTAAATAAATTTTGTAAAATAGAATTTTTATAATTGTAAAGAATTATTTGTCATAATAAATGAAGTATTGTATAAAAATGATTAAAGTATATATCATTTTGTTTTGTTTACCTCATCACTGATGGAAAATACAAAATTCTAAATGGTTAATAAGTGACAGTTGATGTATGTGCGTAAACAGTGATTAATGGTATTGGCGTTCGCTGAGCTTTTTATTATTATGAAGAAGAAAAACAAATGATTCTAATTAAGTGACTTGTGTTGGTAATTTTCATTTAAATAAAGAAAAATTAGATTTTACCAGATTCAGTTTAGCTAGAACTGTTTATTTTATTCAATAACAGTTTGCCTAAACTAATTATTAAAGGTTCTCCACAAGACACTCCCTCTCGATTCCTGTTGCTCCACTCTTCAGTAATTGCCCAAGGTATAGCTGGTCAAACCTGATCTCTCTCCATTAACTGCTTGCTCAAGAACAGACATAACTCCATGAATTAACATCTGTTGAGTACATTACCAATTCTTGTGATGTTGGTAGTGACAAAATTAAAGGGTATTACCTTAAATAATTATTTTGTCTTCATGAGCCTGAGGAGTAGACCTACTTTAGAAAGACAAGATGATTATAAATTATTCTGGTGTCTGTATAAATAACCGCAACTCATCTAGCATTACTGATAAACCATAAATATGTAATTTGTCAAGACTTAGCCTTTATGAGCGAATGACACTTTCGACATTGTATCTCTACCTCAACAGTATGAATATGAAAAATGCTTTCTTTCCATCGGATTCTTTACAACTGAACTGATGTTATGCTTATTTTGTTTGTATCCTAGGCCAATAAAAGAATCCATTACATTGACTGGAATCTTGTTCATTAAAATTGTAATACCATTTATGACCACTGGATAAAGAAGAAACAATACAGAACATTCAATAGTAGCCATTTATAGAACATCTATTCTGATGTCTCTTCTTATTTTATATAGTGATTTTGCTGACTCATAAAAGATGGCATATATGACACCACAGTCAGTTGGTAGTGAGAGGATAAACTTGTATGATAAGTTTAAACTGATTAAATTTGTTTTTCCCCAACAACATTCATATCATGTACAAGTTTATACATACATATATTTCATAATTACTATATCATGATATAAAATATATGTACATATTTGTAAATAGAGAACATTTGTATACCTTGGAAGCCTGGTCTCATGCAATAATAAAATAGAGTGAAAAAAAGGCCAGGATGCAGCAGGAAATAGATGCTATTTCTCACTGCAAAGAGACTTGAAATTTAAATCACTCTCTAAAAGAATTAAAATCCATCTACAAAACCATAGTAAGGACAGTGGTTATGTATGGGTATGAGACTTGGACTTTAGTCAAAAATAGAACGCATGCTCAACTCCTGGGAAAGGAAAGTATTGAAAAGAATATGGGGCAGGATCTTTGAGAATGAAATTTGGAGAAGAAAAAAGAATGTGGAGCTGCAGGAACTTTATGGTGAACCTGATATTGTGGGCATTGATAAAAAGAGCCAGAATAAGATGGTTAGTTCGTGTGAAAAGAATGCCAAAGAGGATGCTGCATGAGAAGCCGGATGGCAAAAGAAGTAGAGAGCGTCCTCGGATCAGATGGCTGGAGAACAATTTGAGGCAGTTGGGTGTTCGAAGATGGAGGGAAGTAGCACAAGACCGTGGAGATTGTTCGGTTGTAGTGGAGGAGGTCTGGGTTCTTGCAGGACCATAGCGCCATTATAATAATAATTTGTAAATAAAATTGGAAGGCAAGAAAAAACAAATGTAATGTTCAACTTATTGCATGATTTAATACCCTCTGACTGCCAATTAATTGGGGTCGGGCTCTAAATCTGCCTCAGTAATGAACTAAGCAATCATAAATCATATACCTTTGAAGGATTTTCATGGGAACATTATATTATGTGCATGGGTTTACCACAACCAAATTCGTGTAATTATGAATGGGTGCGAATAGGAGGATTCATTTTTCATTTAAAAAAAAGTAACATATGAACTATTAAATAACTTGTGAGTAAAAAAATAAAAACTTTATTTTACAAGCGCATTAGATGATAAAACATTGTGCTCATAATAATTTATCCTTTAAAACTTAAAAGTTTCTAAACAAAGATAGTTAAAATTGTTGGAGTTATAGCATAAGATATATATGTGCTTTATCGTCTATAGAAATTACATTTTTATTTTTTTGACTAGGTATTAAATGTTTAAAAAAAATCAATTTGAACATTGAAATAATACAGATGAGTACTGAAAGACTGATATCTACAATAAGCATATCACAAGTGAGACAAAACTAAAAACTGTTGGATATTTTTCTTCAGGAATAATACATTACTTATCAATATAATTAATAACAATAATCATCTCAGTAAAACTTAGCGGACATTATACTGAGGAACAAGTAAATATATTTTTAAAATACTGATTTATCATTAAAATATAAATTAATATCACATTTCATAAATATTTACATCAAATAAACCAATAAACTGTATATTAATAATAGTAGTACTTAGTCCTTGCCATAAAGCATTTATATCAACAGAGAAATACAAATATGAAAATCAGGTGAGATAAAATCCAAATATGATAATAATTCCATACATATTCATCAGAAAAAAACCTTACTTGGTTCACTTATTAATATTAAAATTCCTTGTATTCAAAACTATAAGATTGGTATATTTTTTGTTTAGTTTTATATTAGAAGTTTTAAAAGCCATTTCAGAAACCAGCGTTTTTTTACTGATACTAGTATTCTTCCTAAGCGTGATATGTTTGGTCCTTTATCTTGTTCATCAACAACATTTCTAGTTTTATTTTCAAGAAATTAATTTTGATGTCGAGATTAGGAAATTACTAATTTAAAAATAGACATATTTTTTTTTTAAACTAGAGAAATTATTTAATTAATTAATCTTAAGAAAATATAAAAAGAAAAAGTCAGTCCGCTACGTAGAGATAACATCTGTGATATTGTATGGAATATAATATTTATTTTAGGGTAATATTTTCAAAGATTCAATTAAAAATACAACTCCAAATGCAACAAAACTTGGATTGCTTAAGGCAAGACTATAAAAATGATACAACTTTGGTTGAAAACATAATTATGTATACAAACAATATCAGTCATTAATACATTAAAATGTAAATAAATCTATACTAAGATTAATAAAAATATATGCATTAAATACTAAAAACTGTAAAATTAAGTAGGTTTGTGTGAGACCTATGGTACCAATATTAACAATTTATCCTCTGTAACTATAAGATATCAGTTTAAGTAATGAAAAGTAAGAAAACTGGTTATTATTACACTCTTAGTCATGATACATTATTATATAAATTAAAAAACAACTGGAAATTATAATAATAATAAACTCTGTTAAATTTAGTCATCTATACATATAGTATGCTATGAAGAAAATTATTTTCTTAAATATGACTAAATTTAATATAAACTGATTTATAACAAGAATAAAAAGAAAGGCAAAATATTTACAACCAAGATAAATCAAAGCATAAAAGTTTGACTGAAGAGGAAATAATTAGTTGATTATCTACAAAATATGTACATAATGATAAAACGTCAGAAAATATTCCTTCAAATTATTTACTAATTTTAATTAAAGTAAATTATCTCCGTATCCATAGTTTGACCGTAGTGATTAGTTGTCAGCCTAAATGGGAACTCATGTAACACAAAGTTGAAAATCACATTTTATTTTTCCCTAAATATCTAGTATTACTTACAAAATATTCACAAATACATATCGAAATGTGATATCACAATTTTCCAATTTATTTCTATGTTAATAAATACTTTCGAATTAATGATGAGAAAGTCACACAAGTTCGCTTCTAGATTACCAACTAATCAAGGTGTGACTATAATCATGATACAACTGTTGATAACAAATACTTTTTAAATTTTAAAATAATAATAAGGACTGTTTACTGATTATAGTTTAGCCTTAGGTTGACCGGCCACCGAAAGCTCAGCTGAGCTGAGCTGTACATAGATGAGTCAGCTTCCAAAACAGAATCAAAGGTTTATAATGAAAGGCCGGCCACCAGACGCAGAGCAGAAATGAGCGTAGTTGAGCGACGTTGCAAGGCGAAGCTTCGCTCAGCTTTGAAATTATGCCCAGCTTCCCCCACCACATCTACTTACAACCATGTGGCTTTGTTCCTCAATGTCATCCTTTCTTTCCGCTTGTTTTTACTCCACAACCTCTCAAATTATTTTATTTTGGTTCAGTCTAAAATATGCAATTTTATTTTTCAACTCCGACATGATTTTTTGGTGTTATATATATTTAAAAAAAAATGTTAAATGGAATATGAGAAGGATACCGATGCAAGACAAGTTATTGACTGAACTGGGGTCCACTATCACAATCAATCGCCGACTCCCTCTTGCTATACTCAGCTGCGCTTTCGGTAGCCAATCAGCCCTAGTTCTAGATCAAACTTTGACTCAGTCCTCATTTTTTAAAATTTAATCATGTAGTAAAAAGATATGTAAGCCAGATAATGTGATAGATAATTTCATTTATGGCAAAAACTTTATACAGAATTAATGGTAACTACAATCCTTCATTGAAATAAATGAGTCAGTCTTCGATAGCTTTCCTGATCAAGAAAATTTTATTTAAAGATATTAAAAAAGTCAACACTAAAGTTAAGGCACCCATCTTTGTTGATGGGTTCAGAATTTTGATATATCTATTCAATTTTAAAATTCTTTTAGAAATAAAAATATAGAAGTTCATCTGAAAATCTAATATTAAAGGAGGTATTAAGTTCTCTTTAAATTCATCCTGTTCTAGTTAAAATGAATTTTGAAAAAAAAAAAAAAATCTTATAATCACGTTCATTACAAAAAAATTAAAATTTGACCAAATAAAGCCTTTCCATGTTCCTAAAGGGGAATAAGTTATTGATTTACTAATCAAACAAAAGATGTGCAAATATTTTGTAGAAAAATGACAGTAACAAACTTAGCTATATCAATATTATATTTTAAAACTAAAACATAAATAAAGCATTGATAGTTTTTTCTTTCGATATATACACCATATCACATGCATTTAATTATATTTTTTAAAATGTTATTTAGTTGAAAATAATTTCCTACTGTTGTGTTTACGTATATATTGTGTGACATACGATATATATACTTATTATTAATTTATAGTTAAAGGTATTTTTAAATTTAAATAAAATGATTTTAGGTACACAAATTACAAAATTTCACTATAAATTAACTGAAAGACTCAATGTGTCCTATATTACGAATAAACATCATACAAATGGAAACCTCACATAATTTAAGTCTTGTATTACAACACTACCACTTAATCCCAGCAGTTGCCTCATTTAATATTAATTAAACACCTCATTTCCTTGAATAAAATAAAAAAATATTAATCATTTTTTAATCAAGTGGAAATTTAGATAATTATTCCAACTTTTAGGAATGGCTAGGGATTTTAAAGTTACTAAATTCTTCCACAAAAGAGAACTAAAAATGTATTCTATACTAAACTATAAATAACTAAATTTCATTAAAAAATTGAAAAATAAAAATCTGCTGGTCACCAATATCTGACCATAAAATCACTTTTCCATAACACTCATCGTTTCAAAGTCTTTAAGAACTATCTATCGTACAGCACAATAAAACTAGGAAAATATGAAAAACCTGCTAGACTATGATGGCAGTGATACAGCCTGACTGGCAGTAAGGTCACCATTTGTACTATGAAATAAAATACTGGACTAGTAAATTCGTAACAATTAATTAAAGTTCGCTCTCCTATTATTTCAATTTTTATGGTGGAACCCATGACTGGGTTGACCATATTATAGGGTAAATATGATTAGAATCTATACTATCTATGATATAGTTTTCTTTATACCTAGAAATTAATTCTCGATAACCCCTTCCAAAAGTTGCTATGATAGGGGGTTGAGCAGAAGGAAAAGAAAGAATTGCAGAAAGTTCTCCTTCATATGGACGAAATACTGTTATAGGACGAAGAGACCATGTTTCTGCAACAACCATACAGCCCCATGTAGTTCCTATGTATAGTTCTTTTCCTAACACACAAAGACTTGTTACCTGACATCTTCCAGGACTTAAATGTTCATCAATACTTATCGATTTCAAACTTTCAGAACACGGTACAAGTTTTGAGCAATCCAACTTATGCAATATATGTTTAGAAACACCATCCCATTGATATACAATACAACCTGGATAAACATATGTCCATATATACTGGTTGTCAGCTACAAGTTGAACAACATCTACATTTGCTATAACAGGATTGTAATGATTAACAGTCTCATAATTTGTGACAATATTGTCTTCAATGGTATAAATGGACATTGCACCATTACCTTCACCACACCACAACTGCACTGTATTGTTATTAACATATAAAGCAATCATGTCATGAAGTAACGTAGCAGAGCCCAGCTCAGTCAGTACAAATGACCCTTCAGCCATGGAAGAAGTAGTAGGAGGTGTGTCCGTAACGAGGAATATTCTACCACTTCCAAGAGCTATAGCTAATCTTCTTAAAGGCTCTAACCATAATAAACGGAGCACTGGACTTCGATCTTCACCTTCTACCATTCTGTACCACCACAATCTTTTTGACCCACATACAGAATAAGCATAAATACAAGAATATTCGTCGCCTATCCATATGGTATCATGAACTACAGCAGCAGCAGTAGCTGTTACAGAAAGTGGTGTTAAACTACAACATTGCAGCCATGTGTGATCAGTGGCTAAAAGCTGATAGACCAAACCATCTGAACATCCTAACCATACACTGTGGTAAGTGTAGTCTGAATTAATGATAGGAGTGCAAGCATAAGAAAGAATATTGGCAGTTGTGCGCAAGGAAACAACATCATATAGATGAGTGAACTCTGGAGCAGATGAAATGCTGACAATTTGAGAAGCAGTAGGGCGATCACAAGGCTGATGACTCCAACACAATACCATCAAATCCAATATATTTGCAGGCCAAGATGTTTCCCTGTGAGTTAATGCAGGTCTGCCTCCTTCAAGAATGTACTCTTTAACGGATTCGTGACTTTCAAATGGTTGATGGAGGGTCACTAACTCATAAATAAACATACCAAAAGAGAAGCAGTCAACCTTTTCATTATATTCCTCTTCTCCATTGTATTTCATAATTTCTGGTGCCATGAATCCTTCTGTACCACCAAAACCTTTTGTCCCAGAAGGAAGAGTCAGACGGCTAATACCATAATCTGCTAACTTAATATGAACTTCGACTTCAGAATGAGCTTGAAATGGAGCAGGCATGGACCAAACAAGCACATTTTCAGATTTCAAGTCTCTATAAATGATATGCTGTTGATGGAGGTATTCTAATGCTTTGGCTGTTTGCAAAACAATGCCTTGAAGTGTATTTGGATGTAGTGATGCAGCACAACGCCTGTAATTTTTTAATACAGCATGAAGTGCTCCCATTGGAGCTAATGCAAGAATCAAACATAAGGGGTCAATACAAATTCCGATCAATGGGACTATATTTGAATGCCTAACATTGAGAAGAATTCCAAGTTCCTGCCTTGCTGTAGAATAAGCTTTGCTGGCATGCTGGATGGGATCTCTTTCCCATTTTACCTGTGCATTCTTGTAAGCAATTATTGCTGAATTAGATGCCCCAGAAGGTGGTGCTACTGGTTGTATGGCTTTAATGGCAACAGACATTTTAGTTCCAGTAGTTCTAGAAGTACAAGAACCTTGAAAAACAAATCCAAAAGCTCCTCTACCCAAGAGACGTCCTCTGGTGACATAGTTACTACTTATGAGATATTGTTCACCAACATCTAAGAATAATGTATCTGGAGCTACATGAGCCAATGAAATTTCACCATGTGTTGGACATCGCAGAATTTTTTTCTCAATTGCTGCTAAAATACATTCTTCAACCATCCAGCTATACTGAGGTCCAGATGTTCTAAGATGAGGACCTTCCTCAGAATTCTTACAACTAGATGAGGGACTGTCAGGATGTCCACTGTCTTTGTCGCTTTCCTGAGATATTCTTACAATATCTATCACTTCTTCTTCTTCCACCAATTTTTCTTGATGATATGCTTGGGATAAACATGTTGGACATGGTACAATTCTTGTAACTAATAATTTACCTTCAGAAGTATGCACAAATCTTGTTCCAAGTGTAGGATACCAGTCTTCCAGAAGGGTATCTATATGGTCAGTTGCTAAAGCTAAGAGATGAGCAGATTTTTGAGGTGAGGGCTCTAAGACTATCGCTTGGTAGCCTATTACTGAACCAGTTTCCATGACAGGTCTTTTGATCACAAGGGTATCTAAAGGTAGGTACAATTCAATGAGACAAACACTCCGCAGGTTAACATCTGTCCAATTGCCTTCCTGTTTGATTTGAAGTCTCAAGGATTGATAATCAACAGAATTATTATTCGAGTGTATAATCTCTTTCATTGAAAACAATGGTGTATCTGCATATCGTAGCTCCATGCCTGTTTGCCATAAACTCCATTCAGCCCTTACATCCAAAAGCCTAGCAAGCTTCGCATCTTGAGACACTTCTTTAGGAACTACAAAAAATTCTCTAACAATTTGAATTATAATATCATCTGCTAATAACCTAGTAATTAGTCGAGACCAAAAACCTGATGGGACGTATGACATTAAAAGCAGTCTTCGAATAGCAACATCTGGATCATGACGTGATGTTAGTTCACATTCACTTTCCTCATTAACTATTGTTTTTTTGTTTCTAACAGCCCAAGCACGAGATCTCACAGGAATTTTCACTCTCACAGGTGGTGTATAGATGTCATCCTCTGTAGGAAGAAGTGAAGGTATTAATAAGGTCCTGTTATCCCAGGTTAAGGCAACTTCAAATTTATTCAAAAGATGAACTATATAACCTTTTGTATCCATTTCTCCCAAACATGAAGACTTAAATACATGTTTCAAATCATCAAGCCTCATGACACCATTCCGCGCAAAAGGATTAATCTCACGAATAGTTACAACATGAGCTAACATATCACAAAGCCATTGTGGGTCTAAAAAGTAAAGATCTTTTAAAGTCGAGTCTTCATAATGCAGCAAAACTCCATTTTCATGAAGAAATAGAGTAGCCTGATGAAGTTCTGCTGCATCCCTCAGATTAGTAGCATGACTAACGACTAAATTGCGATATTGCTCAGTTGTTAGGACAGGATCTTGCTTAGCTTGTCTTCGTTCAGCAACTATTTGACCAATAACATCCTCTAATGCCAGGTAACTTGCAGGAACACATTGCTGCAACAGCAAAGTTTTACTTCCAGGACTTCGGAGGCTAAATACAGTATCATAAACAAGATTGCAAAGTATTTTAATATTATGTCTTGATTTACAGCTTACTTCTATTGTATCTATAACTCTTGGTAACCCACATTTTTCAGCATCGACAACATTGATAAAGCGTTCTCTAATGGATTGCTGCAGATCTTCAGCTCTTGAAGCTGGATAGTTTTCCTGCATCATGTCATAGTGAGTACCCACAATAAGAACAGGAGAATTCGGAGCTCTTGCTTGAATATTGACAAGCCATTGAAGTATTTCTGATATACCTTTTTGTCCATCTGGTATTCTCCATACAACAAGGTACAAACTCCGCTTAGACAAAAAATATTGATGAGTTGCATAATATTCTCGCTGACCCCCAAAATCCCAAGTTCTGAAAGTTACTGGTCCATATGAAGACTGGCCTCTAATTTTCTTTTCATAAGTCCAATCACCAATATCAACACCGACTGTTGATAAATTAGTTCCCCTGTTATTCTTGGTATTAATACTTTTATTGCCCATTCTTTTTGCCCAATGTTCAACTGGCTTCTTCTTATGACCCTCACTTCTCAATTGCTCTAATAATGATGTTTTTCCTATTCCTTGCACTCCTACTATCATAAGTTTCATTCGAGCATATGGTTTTGCATCTTCTAATACACTTTTTAAATAACCTATGATATCCATTGTTTTATATTTTTTACTTTCTATCATTGATTTTAGTGGCTCTTGAAGGTTACATCCTTTCATATTTAGATTCCACAATCGAGACAAAAGTCCCATTTGAGGAGGTAAATCCGAAAGTTCACAATTTCCGCTCACATTGAGAACTGAAAGGCTAGATAGCTCATGAATGATAGGGGGTATTTCTTTTAGGAGATTATTACTCAAATCAAGCATGCTCAGATTCGGAAACATGAGTTTAGATTTTGTTGCAGTCATACCGACCGTTTCCCAATCCTCTGCTTCTGCTGAACCATCATCATCGGTAGTTAACTGTAATCGAGTAATAGCATTATCAGCAAGAATCAATGTACGCAAGTTGTCGAGCCTTAAATGCCTTCTATGGCTACAAACAGTATTAAGTATAGTGCTACGAAATGATCTACCACGAGCTAATTTACTGGGCCGGGACCCCTGAGCAGGTGCATAGCAAGCAATGGCTGCTTGTTCCATCATATCCAAGCAATCTACCTGCGGTAAAGACATCCAACAACATATCTGATTTCCTGATAGTTCAAGCTGTTTAAGGGTTGCAGGATATGAAGTGATATGACTCATGCTTCTTAATCGGTTATATGAAAGATTAAGTCTTGAAAGGTTGACTGCTAAACAAGGAAGAAGCGGAGGAACTGAAGTAAACTGATTATGAGCGAGATTTAACCAAGTGATTTGGCAAAATTGAGAATCATTATCACCATCATTTACCACTGAATGTTCAATTACTTCAACGTTTTTATTCCATAAATTTTTATGCTCCAGTTCGTATTGCCTATAGAAAAACAAAACAATATAAATAACATAAATAATGGTTAAAATATATATATGAATACCCATACTCTTTTTATCTCAGATGAATAGTCTATTAGCAGTTTTTACAAAGCATTCACCATCATCTTAAGGAAAAGAGTTTGAAACCAATTAAGTAAATTTTCTGAATATCATTAGACCATTATTCATCGGAAATAAAGTTATCAGGAAGAAAAAAAATTGAATAATTATTACTGTAAATAAATTTCTTGTTCCGCATTATTAAATGCCTGTGGTATGTCCTGCGGAGTCCCTAGATCCGTATCAGCGCTTCTAGAAGAATCCAAAGAACAAACACTTCCACATTCACTCGTTTCCTGGAGAAGGTAAAATATTATTATAAAAATCAAGTATCTATTGGAACAATTCAAATCTAATAATTGATAGCATACTTCACAAGGCATTGTCGGTAATTCTTTTAAAAGATTAAAAGCAGCATTTAATTCTTTTAATTTAGGAGATTTCCACATCTGATAAGGAAGGCTGGATAATTTGTTGTTGGAAACATCAACAATACTTAAAGATGGTAAAGAAAATATTTCAACAGGTAACAAATCTAGACGATTGTCCTGCAAATAGATGAGTTTTGTCATTTTATTTCCTTCCAAAATTGTTATATTGTTACATTCTATTTTCAAACATTTACTTTGATACTGAACATTTTATTTCAGATTAAATAGTGCATTAACATTACCAATTCATACATTAATAGAAGCACTAAATAAAGCATTTTATGATTTCTTGAGACAGATAAGATTTCATTAAATATTGATAATATATAAGGAACATAATTTATTAAATTTTGTCACAAAGAATTCTATTTAAATTGGTCAAAATAAATACCTGAATAACAACAAATGAAGTAAAAACCTACCTGCAAATAAAGTTCTTCCAAATAAGGAGCAGAATACCCTTTTGTCTGATACTTCATTTTATATTTCGAACTATCATCAAAATCATCTACAGTTGGTAATCTCTCAATTTTATTTTGAGCAATATTCAGAATCCTAAGAAATGTATTTTAAAATGTGAGTTTAGGGTTAGTTTAATTTACTCATTAATGTATGATAATTTACAAAAAAATAAAAATAATAACTTTGCTTTCATTACCTGAGACTTTGAAGTTGAAAAATAATTGGTGGTACCCAAGCTAAACAGTTATTTGAAAGATCTAATCTTGTAATGGCATATAGAACAATGTCCTGACTTTTAGGATTTAATTTTAGCTTAGGGTTCACATGTAAAGCAGCACCAACCTAAGGGCAAAACAATGCGATAATAATAATAATGATGCCACTGTTGATAATTTATATATCGTATGAAAAATTCCTTACCAGCCATTGACATCTGATGTATGGAAGTGAAGCCTGGCCTCCATGCCAGTTGACCATAACCGGTGTGTTGGCCAGAAGGGATGTGAAGCTTAGTCCTTTGTTAACGGCTTCTGTAATAGCCTTTTTGTTAAGGTTATATTCTGGATCGGTATGCGCCTAGACAATTAAAAGATTTTTTCTTTATGTTCATAATAATGATAATAATATAATCTACATATGAGACATAATAAAAGACATCAAATAAAACACTTTCACAGCCAATTCACAAAATGAATAAAAAAAAAAGTAATTGTGAACATGCAATCTCTATGTACACCAAACTCTCATTTAATCAGTATGCTGATAACTTGAAATACAGGTCACTTATTTCGGTTTAATTTAATAATATATAACTGATATATTGATCGGTAAAATAATCTTATGTTTTTTTCAAGCAATTATGATAAATAATCCCCACATATATTATTACAGTAAGGCTCGAAATCGGTTTTGTACCAAATATAAGCTCCTGTCATGCTCAAATACCATGAATGGGGTACCGTTGGATTCAGAATTTCATGGGGGGTTAGCGAATTGTATTGTCTAATTTTGTTTTTCTTTCTAAAATAAATAAAGTCGATACAAACATTCTGCTAGGCTTCGATACTGGAACGGTGGTAGGTTTGTAGATCGATACGGGACAAATTGGATCTTGAAGATTTTGATGCGTATAGCAAGACCCAGATAGTTACTCCGGAACTATCGGATACTGCGTTTTAAGCCCCAAAACGTACTATTTTCGAGATAACACAAGGCATAGGATTCGCATCCGCACAACCTTACATTAATTGTAGTACTGTCATTGAATACATGTCTCATTTCGTCGACTTAAGGTCTCTATGATAGAGAGAGGAGGAGTTTATATTATTTATCGATGGTGTTTTTGCCAAAACACCATATCATCGTTGATTTTTCACCAAATCGCAAGATGGAGTCACCAATTTTGAAGGCTTCCTTCTCCTTCAGGCGGGCAAAATAGTCTAATCACCCCAAAAATTCAGGCAAACAAGATATGAAAGTAAACAAACTTAATTTTCGAATAACTAAAAAAATTACACACTTTTTCCTTGGTTATACCCATGATTGTATAAAATATTACTAAATTGCCTACAAAAGGAAAAAAAATCATCGAAATCGGACAATTTTTAGCGAAGATAAAGCCTATTGAAATTTATAAACATGTTGGTTCCAAACATTAATGAAGATTTAAATTAATTTTTGTTCCCTTTGTCGATTATATATATTGATAAAGTAACAATTGATTTCTTTATCTTTTGATAAGTTGCATTAATTTCTTTTCTTATTAATTTGACGTTTGAAAACAATATGCTGTGCGAATTCTTCGCACGGGCCTACTAGTAACAAATTATTTTTAACAATTTTTTATTTATTATTAATAATTCACACGTTTTAACTTAAAGTAACATAAAATAAAAGCTCTTTTAAAGCCTTTGTTATCAATTACTCATCTTTGTATTGTTAATGGTAGCTGCGATTTGATAATTTATATTAGTTCCTTTACAGAAAATTAATTCACAGTTTGTATTATCCAATCCTTTTAAACATAAATCCAAAATGTTTAAAATATATGAGATGGAGGCGAGATTCAAAATTTATAAGCACAATAATAATATTAGTATCTTGCGTACAATAGACCTTCATGGCCATAGTGCATTTTGCCACAAAAAAAAAAAATTACCTTAATGGCGAGTAGCTTTGCAATTAGGATGTCATCTTTACTGCTAATTGCAACTGACAATGCTTTTGAGTCATGGTCATGGGCATTATGGCGCAGAAGCAGGTCTACCATTGTTATATTTCTTTGCTTACAAGCCTCTACTAAACAAATGCAGTCCTAAAAAATTGTAATTTAAAATGAAACAGTTTTTAAAATACAGGTGAATTTTATTTTTTCTTAATATTATAGAAACTAAGTTTCACTATTCATACGAATACGTATTCTAGTTTATTTATCACCTAACAAACTAATTTAGGAAATATATATATTTTTCTATATAACTATATGAATTCAGATGAGAATATTTGTTTGCAGAGTAGAATAATTAATAAATCAAAAATGCATATTTAGAAATAGATGTCATTAATTTATTGTTGATATCTTGATATAAATGGCTTCATAAAAAAAAAAGGAGACGACCCAGGTTTAGGGGAAAATGAGTTGATATCCTAATCTTTTGAGTTTTTGGCTGCTTTCAAATCAAAATTTTATATTTTAAAAATATAGATCTTATGCCAAAAAAATAAAATAAAATTTAAAGATGACTATAAAAAAAAAAAAAAAAAAAAAAAATATAAAGAAAGGGCTTCATTCCACTAACTTCAATTAATGTTTATAAATTGATAAGATATTTGTAGATGAAACTTGCTGGTAAACCAAGTAGCAAGTAGCACTGTAACAGCTATTTTTTTTTAATAGATAAATTTGAAAAGCATATGGTAATTGGTGTTTTCATAAAAGTATCTTTCTATGGAGTGACCTCCTTTCTTTATTAAGCTATTCATATGATGATATAATTTTCTGTCATGCGTATCTGAAGGTGGGATAATGAGATTACTTTATTAGAAGTTTCTATGACTGTAAAGGTAAGAAACTCCCTCATGAGGATAAGACTCAATTATTTTCTACATTTATATTTTCATCATATCGAATATTACAACAAAAATATGAGATCATAAATTATGATTATAACTTACAGTATGAGAATGAAGGTTAGAATTCGCCCCAGCACTTAAAAGTAAAGAGGCTATTTCTGTATAATTATTCTTCACCGCTGCATGCAAAGCAGTCTCTTCTTCAATATTACAAGCTTCATCAAGGGCCCAAGGACTCAGCTGACGCTCTGTTGGACACCCCTCGGGCCCCCCTCTTGAGCCTAAGCTCAGCCTAGTCATTAATGTTTGTATACCATCTGAAATACGTCTCCTTGTTCCTAACGGGAGTGCAGCCTTTTCATCTCTCTCCTTTTCTTCTTCTTCCACCTGGTAAAAATACATTCACAACTATGAAAGAAATATATTAAGATAAATGTATTCAATACAGTTTGTTTTCTGCAAACAAAATTAATTGGAAATGTAACCTAACGTTCCTGTCAAGAAGAGCATTAAAAAAAATAAAAATAAAATAACCAACAATATGATACGATAAAGCATTAACAAAGAAAAAAATACTTTTACCTACAAATTATTTTTTCTTTTTAATTTTTTAATGTTAATAGTTTCTCATACCTGTTGTTATATGGTTCTTTCTTAGCCCTGAACTTTTACAACAATTCATTATAATTTTATTTATTTTTACTGATCACCTCAACCAATCTTCTCTTCAATTATTCACTACAGTCATCCATCAATTTAATTTAATAACCAACAAGATTTGTCAATTTAAATGTTGATGCATATAAAGTCCTTTTTTTTCAATGATCGATATGAAGGGAGTATCAAAAGTTTACCAAAAGACTAAGTATAAACCATCAAAAAGTAGTGACTAAGGAATTGGCAAAACAAGAACAGCTGTCCTAAGAAAGGATTGTTTTCCGTTATTCTATTTATAATTTTCTTCAAAGAATTGTTCAATTTTAGAGATTATAATGATGATTTTATTTTGTTATAATCCAAAATTATCAATAAAAAAATATTTAATTACTAACAAGAAATAAAATGAAAATAAATAGTAGTGGTCATACCAATATGCAAGAATAACAAAGAGAGAAAATTTAACCTTAATGTTTATCTAATAAGAGAATTCCAATAAAAATGTCTCTATGTGGATTATCAAATGATGGAATACTTGATCTTACAGATGAGTGGTGCCTGATAATATTAAGAAACACATAACTGAGGATTAAGCAGTTTGGTAGTCCAGTCCGATCCCAATAACAGGTCTGGGCAAGTTCAAATTTATATTAGTAACAGTTGGTTAGTTAATATTCAATCAAAACGTGTATTAATGTTCGACTCAAGAGTATGTAATTTCTTTCAATCAGTCTTATCAGTACTTGATAATTACTGATTACTAACAATAAAATTTGCAGGGCATAAGCTTTCTAGACATCAAGTAAAATTAAAAAATAGGGCAACATCATTAAAAAATACCCAGTTAGTATCAGTATAGAGTTTTTTAGATGATGTATAGAAGGTCATATTTCGAAAGATCTAATTTATCCTTTTACTTTTATAACAGCTCAGATCCTTTACTAACTTCATTTTAATTATTTTTACAGGTTAATACAGTTCTAGAGAAAAACTAATTCTAGAGTCTCTAAATGAAAAATAATCTTGACTTGGGCTTGGAGTTTAGTAACATTTGTCAGTGGTACCATGTTACTGATTTGACCTTAAATACAATACATTTAAGAATATTTATCCAATATAAGGAATTAAGAAAAAAAATAAAATTACAACTAACCTTAACTCTTACAGCCTTCACTTTGAACTTTAACATTATCTCTACCATTTTATGATTTCCAAGAAGACATGCTATATAGATAGGTGTTTGGCTAGTTACATCCTTAAAATTGACATCAAATGGTAGCTCATATTCCCATTCACCATGGCTGCTAAAATGTTTAATTTAAATTAAATACAAAAATATGATAAAAAAAATATAAATATAACAATAACAAGATTTTATTTTTGATTACCTGTATTTAATCATTACAGATTGAGGATAGGGAAACTTTAATAATGTTTCCATGATAGGTACATGACCATTTATACAAGCTGCGTGTATTGGAAGCCATTTTTCAACAGTTGACTCACTAACCAGCTCTGGAAATTTCTATAATAAAAAATATCAATTAAATTCAAAATTCTGTTTAGTTGCATCATGTGAAATGTCCGTTTCAGCTATAACATTCATATGAAATGCATTATTGTAAAAATCATATTTAACGGGAATAGCTTGGCTTAAGCCAAAAGCAAATCCTGGCCAGTTAATAGTTAACTTAAAAATAAATAAATAAATAATGCTCTGAATAAGGAACACGAATTTCACCATTCTTCTAATAAAACTTGAACAGGCAATGATGACCTTATGGTATAACTTCTTTGAATAAAAAAGAAATTCTTGGAATAAATTTTTTAGAAGATGGTCCAAGGCTTGAAAAAAAAATTGATTGTCAGTCAGTGATACATCTCATGAATAAATTAGGCGGGAAAAACAATTTTTTTCAATCAAACCAAATAAATATTGAAAGTGTATTAAACCAACCTATCCCCCTTCAAAGTTGAAAAAATAAAAAATAATCTTTAAATGCCTTCCAGAAATCAAGCATGTGCTTGGAATTATTTAAATTGAACTGCAACAGAATTCATATAAGAGAGAGACTAATTGTTATTGATTATAAAACTCTAATGTGATGCATGCATCACAAAATTTTCTCTTACTAGTCTACTTGGCACAGAAACTAATTTTAAATAAATGAATAAACTATTAATTTACTGTAACAATAAATATAAACCAATTAAAATCATTATAAAGTTTAATAATCTTGTGGACTATTTATTTTTGCATGCCAAGCTGAACATAAATTTTAAAAATTTTCATTTAGTTTCTATGAAAATTTCATTTAGATTGTATGGAAACATTTATTTTCTATTCAAGAATATTTTTATATTAATATTAGATATTATCAACTACAACAGTAATTAGTTATTCCTCACTTTCCATTATCTTCTATGAATGTATCTATTTTCATACTAGATATTATTTTTTCTAAAACCTTCAGCTTTCTAATGGAATATTATAAATCTATATTCTTCTTCTTATTCCCAGAACTTTGCTTTCAACCTATAAAAATATTCCTCCTTTACTTAATTATCAAATTCTTTCATAGTTTATATTGATCCCTTTTTCACTAGTATTAACAATGAGCGATGGTTAATTATTTCAATGAGGGTAAGAACTAACAAATATTAAAAATACTATTATATTTAACATTGATATAACGAGTTTAATAAAATTATTAGAGCCATTTTCAATTTTTTTTTTTAAAGGGTAAAGTACCATTTTTAATAAGTCGATTTTTTATCAAAATAGTTGCTCTAACATTCTAGGCATATACCTTCCTTAAGTATGTAATTTCAGTTTTTTAGGACATTTTGTTATTGAGATAGGCTGTTCAAATACACAGACCATTTTACAAGATTTGATTGTTTGGACTGAGAAGACCGTAAAACATGTATTTCTGTTAAAGTTGGATATCAAGTTTTTATAATTAAAATACTTTACCTAACTATACATTTGATATCTAAATAAGTGAACATAGAAAAGGTTCATATTTATCTAATAATTTGAAATGATGATTTATTGGGAAGGTATGAGAACAGGACACTAGAGAGATGTGCACTCCTAGTGTTCTGTTTCTATATTTTTATGGCTACTTTAATTTATTTATAAACGCTAATAAAACACATTTTAAACTAAATGTTTTTATTAAAAGATGACAGAGTGAAAAAAAAGAAGATATTTCTTAGGAGAACGATTTGAAGCTTGAGAAACATCACCAAGCAAACAATTATAAGATTGAGTAAGGCGCTTGCATTCTGTGGTATAGCAGACCATCCCACACGATTCCCTACACTATTCTTATATTTCTCTTTGCAAATATACATCTGAAAAAATGTGGAGTCAGTGCTTTTCTTTTAATAACTTAATCTTCACTGATGAAAAAAAAAAAAATGAAAAATTTGATCCAGCACCTCTTTGATTTATAAGTACAACTCAAAGGATTTATATGGAAGCAATTAAAAGGTAATCACATGATAGACCATCAGGTAGCCACAACTTATTAATAAAGCATAAGTTATTGTAATTAATTTTTAATGAATAATGTCAAAATTAAAAGTAAAATATTATATGATTTATCCAGATAACAGCTCAATCTGAAGCCCAAAACAGATCAATTTATAATTAACAAGATGTCGGCACGATAATAATCATAACATAATTACCCGAAGCAGAAGTTCTACAATATCCTTTCTTCCTTTGACACATGCTATGTACAATGGAGAATATCTTGTTACAGGATGGGATCGACCATCAGCTCCAGCATCTAACAATAACTTAACGATTTCCTTCCTACCACATTCACAAGCACTGGACCAAAAAATAAATAAATACAATTACTTATTAAATTTAACAACTCTTTATGGGCATTATAAATAATTTTACAATAGTTAAATATAATTTCCAATAAAGTGATTAATATTTGGTAAGCTTGAGAGCTATAAAACATTTATAATATGAAATTTCATCCACTTAATAGTAAATTGTCTTATTAATTTTTTTGTAAGAAGATTGATCAATCAATTTATTGAATAAGTAAATTTTTTAGCTATTAATCAGTCTTGTCCACAAATTATATAATGGAAGATAATTTTTTTTTTTTTTTTATGATAGGTTTGTCAGATTAAATAAAAATTAAGGAACATTTAATTATTAAGTTACGTTAATCGTTTAAACAGGCTTTAAAATAATGTAAATTAAGACCTTAAACATTAAATATGAAAATATTTACAAAACCTACATACAGATATAATAATGTACTTGATCCATGAGGCTGAATATTGACAACAGAGGGAGCATCGTCAGCTAGTTCCGTGATCACTTGGCGAGCCGCAGCTACATCGCCACTGATTATTGCTTCTCTTAGGGTTCTGTGACTACTTTGCCGAACACTTTCTCTTGCCTCTGGATAACAAAAACACTTTACAGAAGAAGCAGAAATAAAATAAAAATTGATTTACAATAATAAACTTCAATTTGATACTTTAGCCTTGCTTTATTAATTTCTGACACTTGCATTTAAGCCCTTCAGAATTTTTCAAGGATAAAAAACTTTATTATAATTGAAATCATCTGGATTAATGTTTTCATTTAACATACTGGTAGTAGTGAGTGCTATTGGTAGGGAAATGGACTCGACAAGTGGACCACGGGGTCCTTTTAGCCAATCCCTGACGGGTATGGCTACCTTGTCAAGATTCATTTCCCAGCGCCGCTGAGTCTGCTTCAGTAGTATTGTATTTTGAATAAAAACTTAGGCCAATTAGCCCAAATTAATTGACTCATAATAAGGTTTTTTCTTGAAAATGGGTTAAAGGCCTGAAAAATTAGTTGAATATATGTCAATTATGGCAAAAGGATCAAATTGATGTTTATTCTTAATATTGTGGTCTTATAGTCAAAAAGTCAAGAACTTTGAATCATTCATATGTATTTACTGTGTTATAGCACCGATAAATAAGATTGAAATTCACAAAAATGTACTTAAAACTTTAGCTTCCTCAAAAATGCAGTTAGTGACTTTTTGCAATAAAAAAATTATATATTGAAAAAAAAAGTATTCAAACTGAAAATGAAGAGTACATCATATTTTCTTAAACCCCGAATGTGATATAAATATTTTTATGGTCTTCAAAATGAAGCCATTTCTTTTATTTTATTTTGTGCTGATGTAATTAATATATATAAACTTATAATTTCATTTATTTAAAATATCTAAGTTGTGTTACTTGATTATATAATAATGTATTAACAAATCAAGCAAATTTTTGACCCAAATGAAACTGGTTATGTAATTGGTTAAAAATAAAATATATATTTTATTATATAAAGTTATTTAAGTTATTAGCTGAAATTGATTATTTCATTTTACTTCTTACATGTACTTAATAAAATATTTATTTACTTCATTAATATCATTAAGATATATACAATGCTAATTTTTTTAATGAGAAATTAGCTTCAATATTGAGTTTACTTTACTTAATTGATTTATGAGATTAATTTATTTAAATAATTTAACTTGTGGAATAACTGTATTACAGCAAAACCATCAGTTATTAAAGAGTTTATGTCATGAAAAGTAATAATATAATTTCACTGTTGTTGAAAATTCAATTAATATTGAAATGCAACAAGAACAAAACATGATATGAAAATAAAACTATATTATAATAATATTTTATTAAAAAGATAACCTAAAGTAAAAAAAAAAAAAAAGTGTACATATTTATTAAACAATAAGACAAAGTAATTTTAACACAGATTAAAAGTTATTATCACTTATTTATTTACCTGCATCTGGAGAAATTTCATCAATGAAAAATGTATAAGCATCAAAGCCACATTCAATTGAAGGGAAATCAGTCAACTCTAGGTTATGATCAGGTGCTATCATAATGTTTTAACAAACTAAGTAGAAGAATGGTGTGTAAATATGCTAATTGATTAAAAAAATATGGAGAGTGCCAAGGATATTGTACATGTATCATAAGATCCAGACTAAACATTTTCACACCCCCTATTGAAATGAACACAATTCCTGAATATGAGGGTGGACTGTTATTCTAAGAATCCTGTTATCCTTGGTTTCTGGTGGCTTCCGTTATATAACAACATCAATATTTTCCTTAATTGGGTTAAAGTATTCTGCACGGCACAAATTGATTTATTATATGTAATCATTATTATTACAATAATTTAGAAATTAGATAAAAAAAAAAAATTAAGTATACTAATTTGAGAATTCTTTATCATATTTTCAATAATTATTAAATATTCTTTGATAAATTTTAAATTACATCAGATTTATATATTGATAATGCAATCAAAATAATTCTAAACCTTTCTATTTATTTTTTCAGTCAAGGATAGAATTCAAAATTTTTGTGTTTTCTTAGATTAAAAGGTTTTATAATTTTTATAAATCAGATGAATATTTCTTAAGTGTAATAATAACCTATGTGTGAGTATCGAAGGAGAAATAAAATGAATGATAATATGGAATTAAACCACTCAGCCAAAAATCTACATAATCTTGATACCTACCTGCAGCTTTCTTTAGTATTTTCATACATTCTGCATGTTCAGACTTTTCGGCTATATCGAGAGCAGTTAATCCATTTGCATCTTTAGCCATCAAATCAGCTCCGTTTTGGACCAAGAGAATTATATTGTTAACAAACCCATGTTCAGAACAAACATGTAAAGGCGTCTGAGAAAACAAATAAATATAAAATAAAAAATAGAAATAAAACCAATTAAATATCAAAATGTTCAAAAATTATTTTACCCGACTGTCCCCTCTAGGGCCACAAGGTATATTTGGGTCAGCTGTGAATGATTTTTGTAATAAGTAAAAAAAAAAAAAAAAAGAAAGAAATATATACAAATAATTTAATAGATACATATATATCATACCTCCAACTTGTAAAAGAATTCTTAGACATGTAGAGTTTTCAGTGGTGGCAGCAGCATGCAGAGGTGTTCTTCCCCAAGAATCCTGACTGTTCATATTACTTAACTGATCTCCTCTCAGGAGATCTTCCAGAAGTTCTGCATTGTCCCATAATGCTGACTAAAATTAGAAATTATTACTTAAAATAACAAAATGAATATCAGATAGAGAGAATATTTCTAACAAACTTTAATATTTTGAAAAGTAAAATGATTTGAATTTGTCTAAATGAAAAGGTCACAATCATTAAAAGAGATGAATAATATTTTACAAAAGAAAAACATGCAACATTCATTTTAATGTAGATATATAGTCCAATATCTCTTTCTCAATATTCTTATTTAAAATTAATCTAAAAAAAAAAATAATTGTATTATTCCTAAATATACAAGGCTGCTTAAGTCAAGGCATGAAAATTTAATCTACTAAGATTAATATACTAATCTTTGTAAAATTGCATATAGAGAACAAAATTATTTGCAATATGTATTCATGAAAGTCTATGTTTAAGATTTAATGCACAAATACACACAGAATCAAGCATATAATAGTATTCAACATTTTTTTTTCATCAATATAAACATTAATATCATACAGTAAAGATAATCAATCAAAATATTACATTGCTAGTTATATCAAACATATTGTTGCCACCAAATTTAAATCCCTTTAGTTTGATTAATTAATTTTTAGAAAGTAAAGCATTTTTGAAAAGTAAAGCCTTATAAACTGAATTATAGGATTCTCAGAAATAAAACAACCCAGAGATAAAAACATTACTTGCAAAGAAATATTAAAGCATAAAGTTGTTTTTGTGGTATAGTGAAAATAAGCTATATTTCCACTTGTAACTTAAACAACACAGCTAAAAACTTAACAATGTTTCAAAATTAAAAATAAATTATAAAAAAAAAAGTAATTTTTAGCTACCGCATAAACAATGTTTTTATGTTTACAGTGTTTTAACAATTATAATTTTAAAATAATTTCTGTTCCCTAAAAAATTAATTCATAGAACATGGACTAAATCAAAGTAATTATTCAATTTATAATATTAATACAATCTCCCATCTTATAAGGAAAAAAAAACAGCTTTATTGAAAGGAATGTGAATTTGTAAACAGTCAAAAAGACAAATGATCAGTAGAAATATTTGCCCTTAGTTTCAATTAATGTATTACTATAAAAATAACATGAGGAGAAATATATTATGTTAAGAAATTTGTTTATTTCTAAAATTACTATTAATTTCAAAATCAAATCATGCTTACAAACAATTAGGATAAGGATTTTAGATTTAATGCTTCCTGCCAAATTAGTTGAATAATACCAACAGATTTACAGAATATAGACATGAATAAATGGATGGACAAATGAGGTAAGTTAATCAGGTATTACAATGCTTTGGAGGAGCCTTGGGAAATGGAAATTAGTTATTTGTAGGAGATCACAGAGTAATATGAAACATTACATTGATAAGATAACCGAATACAAAATCTGAAATTGAATTTGATTAAATATTATTTGCCATCCATAGTTTCAATTCAAAAACTCATGTAATGATTGAAAATATGGTGCAAAATTTTAATAAAACTGTGATTAAAATAAAAAATAAATGTAACAGTATAAAAGTAAACAATTACTGTTTTTGTAAATGATTATTCACCTGGTGAAGCAATCTGCCACTGAAATCCTCCTCTTCAGGGGTTAGAGGCTCCATTTTGAACATCCTACGATAAAATAGTTTTCATATTCCAGAAGGGGATATTGGTCAATTTGAAAGGAAGACTAGTGTGTAATTTATCAGGGGCTATCATTTTTCAGAGAGAAGAATTACTGCACCAGTAACCCTTCCATAACCTCCTACCACTCTCTCCCCCCCATGTTTACCAACGTCATTATAAACATTTCATTGACAATGTCATTTCATCTTTTATGTCATGAGGTTAATATCAAATGTTCATTTTAATTCATAATATTGAATTGATTCAATTGTATGCACTCATAGTAGGTAATAATTAAGGAAAGCATAATGAAAAATAGTATGGTAAAACTTGAAGTATGAGTAAATTTATAAAATTCAATAGGGGGTAGCTTTAACCTGTCTGGTTAAAACGTATTTTATAACCAGGCCCTTTTTTACATCAAAATGTATAATATAGATAAATTGTGACAAAGGTATCTATAATTTGTCACAATTTATAAGTTTGAACGAGATTAGTAACTGAATTATAATAACTGAAATAAACAGTTTAATGAACCGGAAACTTCCATTTCGACCACCTGTATTACAGCTCACAAACCTTCCTCCAGCAAGCGCCAGCAATCAAGCCAAATCTAAATTAATATCAGGTCTTACAAATTAACCCTCTTACTTTCTGTTTTATCTCTGTGACATTTATCTGAGGGTTTAGCTAAGATTGTGCCGTCACAATGAATACCAGGTACTCGTATAAATATATTATCATATTAAAGTGAAGGCTACGAGAAGTCGCGGAGACCAGTTAGTATATATATATATATATATATATATATATATATATATATATATATATATATATATATATATACTTCAGTTCGAAAGCTTTTTTTTTTTAAATATAACGAAAATTATTTTGGAAGAAAAAGAAAGAAACGAAGTACCTATCCGAAATGGTTTTTAAATGATTCTTGAAGTCCTATTAAATGTAATTGCACGAGCAATAATACTTTTAGAGATAATTTGTTAATATTTTTATAATCAGACATGGTAATATTTTACGATATTGGGAGGGGAGAGCTTCAGCCCGAAAGTCCTCTTTAATTTTAAAGTCCTATATTTAAAGGGTCAAAATATGCTCCTCTTTTTAAATTATGACACATATACACATACTTCAACTGTTAAATGCAAGCACATATAAAAAAAAAATATCCTTTAAAGCATTGCTGTTCCTTTAATTACCGTTATTAAAAAAAATAAAAAATGGTTAGCCCTAACAATTAAATCCTAAATTTGAAGCTGACCTATGGTTTACGGAAAATAATCTTCCAGTGGATAAAAAAGGTTTTACTTTTTTATGTTTTTGATTACCCCTACCTACCTCGATATTATTTTTGCTTAGAAAATATTAACTCATAAAAATTCCCGTACATCCTACCCTAGTTAAAATCGGGGCCATGGATAGAAATGAAGGGCCAAAGAGATCATTTTTCCAGAACCTGAAATATTTAATTTAAATCAAATATTTAATTTACCACAAAAATCCAACCGAAATATTTTATAAAGTATCCAACGAAACTGTTATGTGAACATACTAAAAAAAGTAATTTTGTATGAATAAATAATATTATCTACACTTTATTTTAATATAAATTTATAAGTCATAAAACAAGAATTTGTAACAAGATAGGCAAAACTAGTGTTGCCCAAAAACGGTCTTGGTCTATTAAAGTGCCAGACCAAGACCAAGACTGGTAAAAGAAAATCGATTAGTTACTAGTTACTAATACTTGCCAAATTTAGTTACTATATGTAAAGGATTGATATAACCAATATATTTTGTATTTAACTCTTCTAATTTATCAGTCGGGCTAAGTTAGGTTTCTTCTATCTAAAAAATTACAGTAATATCTCTATAGTAATAAGGTAATAGGTTACTACAAGACTGTTGCGAGACTCTTGAGCAAGACGAAGACGAAGACTGAGTGGTCAACACTAAAAATGACATTAAACCCCATAAGAACAAACTTCAACTGTTATCAAATATTGGTAGAGATCAGATTGGGCATCACCGAATTGTGTAGTTCTCGTTATTTAAATTGTTTTCAACAATAATTTAATTGTCAAACGTAATAGTTTTATTTACATTAATAGGATAAATTTATTTCCATTTTTTGGATACGATCATAAAAATCATCAGCCTGAATCAACCAAATGGAATAACATTTAGATAATCGATTTTAAAAAATAATAAATTTATCCTGAGAGTGATATTAGGGAACGAAAAGGATAAGCTGATCTGAAGTTTGATATCCGGGTTTAAATCTAAGCGTTGGTCGAAAACCTTTTGACCTTGAAGATGATGCGGCCCTGTGGAAACCCAATGGGTAGGATTCCATCGCTGCGTTACATCATAGCTCACCTCGATCTTGAATATTTGGATCTCTTATATATATGTATATATATATATTTTTTTTTTTTTTCTCTGCTGTAGTAGCCCTACAGAAGAGGCGTATATTTTTATAAGTGTGCATACACCATGCAAAAGCATATTATATGCATATATATATATTGATAGTAGGTAATAGGTAATAGATAATAGAAACCTCGTAATTCCATCAGTCTACTTAAACCACATAACTCCAGTCATATACGTAGACTTACCATTATTTGATTACAGCTTATGGCGCCATATACAACAACATAGGCTAGAGGCATCGAGTTCTAGTTACATAATTTAAATCAGTTTATAAAGATTGTTCTTCAAGAACTGGAATATGTTGTTCTGACTTTCTTGTTTTAAGGCTTGACTGTAACTGAAGGAAGTACAACGAAATTCAATGAACACAAACGCTGACAGCTTTCCAGGATATGTTCTGCAGTAAAGGCATGTCCTGTATGTAAAATTATACATATATAAAATCAACTTATTATTGTGGAACGAACAAAACAAAATACTGAATATTTAACAATAAATTAATATAGTTGTAGGTTTTTCTCCCCCTTTCGTATAGATATATCGTCCGTTTATTGTAAAAAGTATTTAAGTGGTATTTCATAACCTCAAATAAATAAAAACTATGATGAATTTTCCCTTTGTGAAATCTGCAAATTGTGCACTTAGGTTAGCATAACTCATAATCATCGGAATTCTGGCATCGGGACTTACTCCATCTGTCCATTTCAGCTTAGGTCTTCTTTATGAGTTGAGATTTAGTCCATCCGTACAACCTGGCCCTTAGTGCATATAACATATACTTAGTGTAACAATATATTTTAAACAAAAGGCTGTGTTTCATTTTCTTGTGGTGCTTTTCCCTAGATAAATATAGTCGAAATTCACAAAAACATATTTGAGCGTTAACCTATATCAAAAACACACTTAGCGAAAATGATATTCTCGCCCCTTCAATACTTTTATTGGGAGGGAATCCCCTCTTCGCCTCTTCCTCCTCCCCAACAATGGGAAAACAGGGTCAGGCCTCATCAAGAGTAATTGTAATTATCTAAGATTTTTCAAATTCTAATTTCGCTTGAACTGTTTTTTTACAAGGAGAGAGCAATGCGATATATTGGGAAATGGGAGGGAAGAGGTTCATACGCCATCGACCTTAGGCACCCCTGGATCATATCTTGAGATTTTGGATGGACAAGTTTCTGTAAGCAGTTCTTTAATTGTCTTTCGCTTTCATGCGTCACTACTGAGATAGTTCCACTTATGGTGTGGAGGATTTTTCTCATAAATCTACTGTCGATATATTATTTGAAAATTCATTATGTTACTTTCTTTGAAGTTTGCTGAAGTATCAGAAAATGGTGGTTCCTTAAGGTTAGGTTGATTTATTTATAAAATATAATAATTTTGTTGAACTAAATAATCATTAAAAAAAAAATAATAATAGTAAGAGAAGTATTTTAAATATCAAGGCAAGTAAACTGATTATTAAAAAAAATAAAATTATATTCTTCCAAGTTTTTAAAATGTTAAAAAAAAATATAGATCATTGTTGAATTCAATTCTTTAATAAACCAATTGTTTGAATACCTGGAAGTTTTCATTGCCGAAAATAAAAAATATTACACAGCTTCCCAGTCAAAAAGAATAATTCAATTTTTCGCATTGTAGCTCCTTGGAAGAATGCAGTTTTTCCTTCTGAATCCACGCCATTCCATTAACTATCTATGACAAAACGTTAATAAGTTTTTACCCCATTAACCTCCATTCATTAATTATTAAAATAAAAAACCACCAGACTGAAACGACTAGAAACCGCCCGACGTTTTCGACTACTGCAGCACCTACTACACAAACGCTCTAAGCCCACAATCAATTACAAACGACTCATATATATGACAATAATAAGACCTATTTGGACTTACGGAATTGAGCTTTGGGGCTCCACTAAACCATCGAATTACTCTCATATCCAATTCTTACAATCCAAAATCCTTCGTAAAATCCTCAACGCTCCTTACTTTGTCACAAATAAAATCATCCATAAAGATCTTAATGTTCCATATGTTTCCGATTTAGCCCAATCCAGATATCTATCCTTTCATAACAAACTGCAGAATCATCCGAATCCTCTCGTTTCAAACCTTGCTTCCTCCTCGATCCCTAATAATCCTCCGAGTCGTCTGAAAAGAAGATGGCCTCGGGACCTTCTAATATAGAACTTTAATTTGAGTTCTACCAATGGGTAGTTTCTCTTCAAGTTGTACATGTCATGTTACAAATGTCACATTTACTTATTGTATTTTCCATGTAATACATTTGTAAATCTCAATAAAAAAAAAAAAAAAATAAAATAAAAAACTAAAGTTAAATCACACACCTTACGATAGAAGTGAAAATACCAACAAGGCGAGATTAATAATGTGGGGTATAAATTATAAATAATAGCTCATTATAAAGTGGATGAAATGATGAACAATATGTTGGTCCGAATTTTAGTTTTTGAGATATTTTAAACGGCTCATTCTAATTCACTCTCTACAAAAAAAAGTGCAAAACGCGCCTAAAAAAACGT